ATGCAAGCCAGGATCAACAAAAGTCTGAGGAGGAAGATTACAACATGCAACCAACAAATGCGGCTCTGTTACATGAGGGTAAATTTATTTCAGAAACAGTCTCATATATCTCTTCACACATGCAGTTGTTCTTCCTCATGTAGCACATTAACCCTGTCGTGCCATGTAATAAAAATATGTATTCACATCAATAAGACTACGTACAATAGGTTTTAATATTGTTACACTATCCCGTCTGTCCGTGAAACACTATTCTCAGTGCCTGGTTGAGGACAAGGGTATGTCACACCACCTTCTGATGGTACTTCGAAATAGCTGGTGGTGAGTGGGGTGTTGGCAAAGTAATTATCTAAATGCACTGTCGTTCGGTCCGGTTACGACTGGCTGTAGTATGTTGTTGTAACGCCACTCAGAGGCCGCTGAATGTCACGCAACACAAAGGTAGTTGGCGATCGAACAAACACAATTTCGCAAAGACCTTGCAATGGAGAATAGAGCTTGTTTCTGTGTTTCTGTGTTATATAAGATAGCACTGCTGGGATAGCTACTTCACCATCTAGGTCTGTCATCGTTCAGTTAGTCAGTCAGCAGTCAGTCAGTCAGTAACGACGTAGAACTTCGTACGTACGTACACCAGTTCGAGTTGCCACACCACATTAGCACAGAGATGCAGTGGTCGATTCAATCGAGTCACACCAATTTTACTAGTCACAGTTTTCTAGTTACTGATTCGTAGAACGGTTATTATTTATGCGCGAAGGTGTGTGGATCTGTTTATCCATTTATCGAATAAAACGTATGCTTATTATCAGACAGACTAGTACAATAAACGTACGCGGGAAACAGGAAAATTAACCCTCTAGCCAGCTCTACAAATTTGTGTCTCAAGTTATGCAACTTGCTTACATAACGATTAAAAAGATTAGGATGAAGTAATGCACAAATACGATGTACACGTGAAAACGTGCAACATCGTTGGAAGATTTAACAGGGACATGTACAAAAAATGTTCGTGTGTAGCAGATCATCAAGATTAATTCTGATTGGTGTAGGAAGAGGACAGATAGTAACTAATTATTCACATGCTGCCATTTCATATACGGAGAGGTCTACATGTGGCACTACAGACTACATGTAAACTAACTCAACAGCCCACTGAAAAATCAAACTGATTGGATAAACGACTGTGATTATCAAATCAAAATGAATTCTCGTCACATTGTATGATTGAGCATGACATTCATCATTCGGTACAAACCACAGACGATTCACTCTGCATTACAACGCTGTAATATTTAAACACAGTCTGCTGATAGAATCTGGCTGAATTGCAAATCTCATAGCATATTTCATATTACACGTCTTGATTACTCACTGTTGTCTGAGATTATCTAGGAAATACACGGAAATAAAATATAATCGAACAGTAAAGGATCTCGTAAGAATTCGCACTTTGGACAATCATGATCAAGCTGAAAGAAGTTGGAACATAGCGCTGTGTCACACATGTTGTATCATTCAATCTCTTTCAAGTTTATGTCTATCCCAGAAGAATTTTCTGATCGAAGAAACAGCTGGGAAGCATGTATCAGAATCAGGAAAGACGAACAAGCAAAAATACGAGTCGGTCACTCATGAGCTCAACGTCTGTTGATAAAAGCAGGTGACTATATTTGAAAATGATATTAGCGTTTGAAGAGAGCTACCTGATAATCAAAACTACGTGTCCATATAGTAAGATGTCAAATGAGTTAGAATTTCTCACGTAAACTTTCTCACAGCAAAACAATAAGCTATCAAACCCACCGCACTTTGGCCACCCTACGTCGTTGTTGCTTGTATAACTCATGGGTGAGAGAAGTCAGTGTCAGTCACGAGTCCTAAATGAGTTCTGATAATGATTTGGAATCTACTGACAAACCAGCAACAACATGTTTGTTTTCATAAAGACTATGTGGTAAAAGACGAACAAAACATTTCGCCTGTGTCATAAATTGAGTTTTCTTTTTAGCTCCAAAATGTTCATATGTTGAATGGATTTGTTTGAGTCAGTTAAAACCAATTTTTGAATATTTACATCGGATTGTGTATCAGTTGAATATCTTTTCCGTTGAATTGTGTTTCCGGTGTTTCTGTTTTCATTCTCGTATTACTGATTCTAATGGTAAATTACTTTTCTGAGTAAGTTTTTCCTTTCTCATAGATTCATTTTTTTCTGGTTTGTCCATTTTTTGTATCTTATTTCCTACATATACTTTGCAAACTTGATATTAGATGAAAATAAAGAATATTGAGTGAGAAGTCGTTGTGAATAAGTTTTATCCTCAAGACATGTAAAGCTGTCTGGGGGCCAGTGATTAGTCGAAAATGTCAACCAAAATCTGACATACCATAAACAATAAGGTCATCTTCTGAAAGATTTATGTCGTCCAAATTATCGGCAGTACTATTTGTATTTAAAAAACCTTAATCAAAAACAAGACTGGCTAAAATACTTTTGGTCACGTTTTCGTCATTCTTTTGTACATTGAGGCCGATCAGAATTATCTTAATTTGCAACAATAGTTCGTGTTTGCTTCAATAAACATGTATTTAATGTGGACTTTGGGCCGTTACATACATCAAGCTTTTCACTATCAGATTTCGGGACGTAACAGTATGATTACTCTAAGCAGAAGCTTGAGCTGCCTGTTATTCGTTAACCATATAAGTCAATTAGTGATTCTTCAACTGGTTATCTAGGACTTCTGGGACTGACTCTCATTTTGAAGAAAAATAAAATGATTCCATCCTAGAAGTTATACAGACCTTGCTTTCATTCCATTGTCTCAATTATGGTACTCAGCTATTCAATACTGCAGTTACTTATCAGAAATATCCTCAACAGTGAAGAAATTTATAATTTGAGTGTTTTCGAACATTTCAAATCAAGTATCAGTGGTCCATTTTTGTCTACCAAAACCTTCTAGGATTTTCATTCGAAATTTGTTTCTCTAGTATTCAAATCACAATATCTACCTATTGGAACTCCGTGTTCAGCAATACTCGATATCGAAACTTTATTGGGTTTCATCACAGTGTTCATTCGCAGATAAGATAGTGGAGTTGACACTACTAATATGAAAACCACAGCCGTAAAATGACTTGATGAATGTACTGAATTGTTTGCAAGTGTAGAACGAGTTATCTATGGCTAGATATATAGAGCTAGTTGTTTCACTGGTCATCAATAATAACCAAATCTAGACTAAGGATCTCATCAAGGTACTCAGTGACATAGCATATGTGGAGTATTTAACACTCCTTAGTGAACATGATTGTTGTGAGCGTGTACTAGCCCACAAAAAGTGTTAAGAAAGTCTTCATTCGTCTTTATGGGTCAATTTCCCAATAAGTATAATGAAATAGCCTGCAATATTATCGTCCTTACTGTTTTCCTATACTCTGTGTTTCATGCCAACCCATATGTTGCTGAAAAACCCCACCATTTGAATTGACAGTCATCTGTACAACACTAGGCTGAGCGCTAATGCAAAACACGATGACCAAGCTTAGTGATGCAGAAATTCCAGATCTATATAAGCATTCTCCAGTATCAATAAATAGATCAGTGAATGAATACTAGAATAACCTAACCACATAGATTCAATAGACTGAAATGGATAAATAAGGTTCACAATTGTATGCAAGGCATTTGATATGCATTGCTTTAAGCTGAGAAACATATTTTATTCTACTTTCTAATCAAAGCACCTATAAATTATGTTTTCCTCTTAGGTTTAAGCAAATAGCAACTGACAACATGATGAATAGTAATAGTTATCATGATGACTTACTGCTTCATTTGAATCTAATTTTGCTTGTAATTAAATAGAAATATTGTGTTAGCATCCTGTGTATCAATGAAAAGTTTTAATATCTTGTTATCTTATGCATAAAATTAACTTATGTGCTATCAATTAATCAGCTTTGGATCTTTCAATTGGTTAGTCATGGTTAAGTGAAGTTAATAAAACACAAAATTGTATAAATCATTACTCACAAACAAAACATCTATACAAATCTAATCTAATGCTATGATAGGACTATAATAATATTCGGAGATAACTATGTTTTTATTGACTGATCAGACAAGAGAGGTTTTTAGTCATCTCGGTCCTTGTATCAGAAACGTTCACAACATGTCTCCATCTAGTGTAAGTCTCAAGCTTTCTGGAAATGCATATACACATATTGTTTCAATATGTGAGTTTATAACTGAAGAATCCATTAAAAAAATTATTTTTTATCAGCAGCAACTTCTTGTTTATGGACTAGCTTATGTAATCTGACTATACGGAGTTGTTGAATTGCTTAAGTCGGCCGATCCATTGATCTAATTAGATTCTATAACTTTTTGATGAAAACGAGTTTATCTTGAATATCAACTACAGATATATATACTAAATTCCAAAAAGAATGGTAAAGCTAATCATTTATAACGGCATCATCATATCCAGATAACTACAAAAATAATTGCTCTGAGTTTGAGTTATTTTAAAGAGTACATATCACTCCAAAATATGAGATATTGTACGTTCGCATAATTCGATTCGGGCTTGGTCTTTTTCATGAGTGTTAATGATACTAACAAGTCATCAAAACCAAAGTACGTGGACATAGGCTTTAACCTGTAACTCAATAGATTAATGTCGAGTCCTTCACTCACTAAGTTACTCCAAAAACGTGAACTTCCAGAAAAGTAAATCAGATGTACAAAGTCCGTTAAGGAAAGCTAAATAACCTAGTTGATTTACATCCTGGATTTCGGTTCATAATACGTTTGCAAATAAAAGATTATGTTGCAATAAAAATTACAAAATGTGATTGCCATTGAATGAAATTTAAGTATCCACACATTTTATGGTGATTCAAATTTGCTACTGAACGTTTTACAAGTAGTTGAACTGTTTTTATAAAATAAATCGATGAGGTCTGTTTTCCCTTCTAGTTGAAATCAAATGTGTAGTTATTTGTTATTATGCATTACAATCACTATTTCTTTCGTGAACGCTCAAAAACAAGAAGGCTATAAACTCGATCCACTAACGTAAGTTATTTACTAGTTATTAATAATTATTAGATCGTACGTAATTCTTGCACCGAATCGCATCAGAGCGAATGAACTTGTACAAATAAGTGTATCCATATTTGAATTACTCTATGAACAGCTAACAATACGATTGGCCATTAAAGTTAATTCAACTGAAATTATATCTAGTCGAGAAGTATTTAAATCTCCTGGGACGAGAATTATGCAATTAAAAGTAAGCTCATTTTCACATTTTCAAATATTTGCATTGTACTCAGATTATCCATGTCAACTCGAATCAATAGCCGGATGTGTTTTAAGAATATATCCTAACATCTTATTGCTACAAGATCGTATTGACCAAGGGGTGTGGTCAAGTTTGGGTTTCAGGTATTATGACACAATGATGCTTCGGTATTTAACGTCAGTTATTTGAATTCACCTTATATGAAGTTATGATTCCCTACCACATATGCACATGTTTCTCGCGGTAAATATTAGAAATATACCTGGGTTTTGCCAAAAATATCTTTAGAAATCTAGTTTTTAAAGTCAATATGTTTCCACAGGCACAGTTAACTAAAATGTGAATTAATTCTACCTGAGATTTGATTATTTTGACTGTCAATAAGCATGGAATTAGTTGTATAATCGTTACCTTTACAAAATGAATTTTTCTTTTAACGTTTTTTTTCAGGTACCCAATTATGCTCGAACTGGGACGTACTGGTTACATGTTGAAGGTTCTATTGTATCCAATACTTCCATTTTATTTTCAAATCTTACAAAACTAACATTTTCTGAACAATCAGAATCAATCTTTATACATGTAGGTGATTATAAAATATTACGGAATGTTTTTTCTCTCAGTTAAAGTATTCCAACAAATATTTACATAATTATTGTTTATAAGAACGAAATTCGGCCTTATTTCTACAGGAGGTCCGAAATTAGGTACTCTTTATTTTGTTGTTCTGTTTCCTCTGTCACTTCAAATATGTTTTTTTAAAGACTTTGATTAAACTTATAAGCAACTTACATCTCTGTAATTAGATATTTTACCAATGAACTTTCAACCTTGTCAACACGACAATCTAGACAATATTACATTGAATACTGATCAATAACCAAATGGCCGAATCGTTGATAAATTAGTATACGAACATCTCAATACTATAGAAGATCTCTCGTTGGTCAGATCAGCTGTTAAATTATGTTTGGCTAAGGCATTGAGTAACATGGATTTGAATTCTTCTGAGAGCATATATTTTTCAACACACCTTGATGAATAGTTTCCTTGTTGGCAGTAAACTTTAATCCAGAACTTTCTGTCATTTAGATGGTAGATAATAAATAAGATCTTTTTAGGTGACTGGAGGTAGCCAACAGGAAACCATAGACCTCGGTTTCATGCTATTTGACATTCGTCAGGTAGGAGTAGCTATGATCTTGGGAGAACTGATAGTCGTCATAGAATTCTAACCCACCTCATCAAGCCTAACAATTTAAGATGTTACCACTGAACCATATGAGCCATGACTGGCCTATTGTACGTCTAAGATTTTCACAACTGGTTGATCACCACTCATTAAATAACCAATTATAACGTTAAATCCATTCACATGAAGGAATTGAATACAGAATCTAATGATTAGTGACTTTGTTTGTACTCACAACAGAAAGTTGTAAACGAATGAAAATGTAGATAAATTTTAGATTAAATTAAGAGCAAGAGTCACTGTATTATTGATTACTTTGTTATTATATTATTTCCTGAAGCATTCTCTTAAGAACGATCGTTTTGTGCTTTCTAATACTGTGGATCAGTTATATTTGGCTTAATCTTCAATAAAATCCAGTATATAACTGATAATGGCTTATTTGATAAAGAAGTTAATACATAAAGCCTATAATCAAGTTTTAAGAAAGAAGATCTTATTCAGAAATAGTATAATCACTCAATTTTACTGGGATTTATCAGATGTTATAAGGAATCAATATTTATTAGTTCTTGATTGAGATCATGAACCTATTGATGTTAGACCACTATTGAAACCTGGACGGTCGTTTCGTCCCATTGTGTGACTCCTCAGGTAGAAACAGGTATTTAACTGAGTACAATGGAAGGTGGTATACATGTAACAGTTAGAAATGAATGTTTGTTCATAAGATTAAATACTAAACTTAAATGGTATTTCTTGGAGTTCTAGTGAGAAGCCGTGATCAGTGGAGTTCAACCGGGTGTGTTGTGAGATAGTAACTCATTGAAAACAATGGTGGACAGTGGCTCAATTTTGTGGATTGGTTGAGGTTAGACACTAACACCGTTGGATGCCGACTCGGTGGTCTAGTGGTTAAGCGTTCACTTGAGAGACTGAAGGCCTTGGGTTCGAATTCCGCGAGCGGGATCATGGATGCGCACTGCTGAGGAGTCTCACAATAACACGAAACGGCCGTCCAGTGCTTCCAGATTTTCAATGGTGGTCTAACATCAATCAGTTCATGATCTCAATCAAATCAGAATAAAAGTTCAGGAATCAAGAAATAATTATAGTAATTAAATTACATATCTTTAAAATAATTATTATCTCTTAATTTTCAATACATAAAACTATTCTACACTTTATACATATTCATTAAGGTTAGTAAACCAATCTACCATCAAAGTCAAATAGTCAGATTTCGTGTTATTCCAATGCTTCCAGACTTAACTCCTGCCTATGGTTCTCTGGTTAGTATTGATGTACTTGATGCATCAGGGAATTTATTTAAACGATGGTTAAATCCAATGACAAATATTGGAGGTAAGTTAATGTTTAACAAATAACTGACAATATTTTATCTAACTATCAATAATTTTGTCAATTTTTTTTAACTAACCATATACTTCCTTCTATACAATTTAAATAGACTTGATGATTCTGTACCATTACCCTAATTATTTAACAACTGAATGATACTATTGAAAACAATATCAGTAGTCACTAGAAATTCAAGGATAAGATATATGATCTTGCTGTAAATCATTCAGTAAGTCTCAATCAAAAATGTATTAATCTTCACAACCCTATACTAGTACCATATGCTCACTAGTGACTAACTTCGTGAAGGAGTTCTCGGAGTTCTAGTGAGAAGCCGTGACCATTGGGGCTAATCCGTATCGGGTAGAGACAGGTACAATGAAAGATGGTAGCGCAAATTCGTGGATTGGTTGAGGTTAGATATTAACACCATCAGATGCCGACTCAGTGGTCTAGAGGTTAGGCATTCGCGTGCAGGACCAAAGATCCTGGGTTTGAATCTCGCGAGTGGGATCGTGGATGTGCATTACTGAAGAATCCCACAGTAACACGAAACGGCCGTCCAGTGCTTCCAGATTTTCAATGGTGGTCTAACATCAATCAGTTCATGATCTCAATCAAAAGAGTAAATCTTTCATCTTGACATGAATGTCAGGAATCCAAATGAAAAACGTCATAATACTGAAAAAAAAACTTAATTTTTACAATTTTATACGGACTTTTATTGACATGAATTGGTTTCCAGTAATGATAATCACTATGAATTCTAAAAAGAATAAAAATGGATAGAAGACTAATAGATTTTCTGTAAAAAGTATGCTATACTGACAAACTTGAGCAACTTTTCAGCTAATGAAGAGGGATCGTTTGATTATGAAACAGCCAACAGTAAAATGCTGTAAACTTACGGTAAATTAATAGTTTTGATATGAATAGTTAAACATTACTTGTTGAATTATTCTTTCCAATAAAGACAGAAGGTTAACTAACATATTAGGAGTTGAGCTGTTGTTATGAGTTAGGATTATATCCCAGTAAGGTTTTTGTCATCAATTCATATCAGCTACAATGCAATGATATTTCGTAACTGATATATTCCGACGAGAATAATGAATGGTAACTGTTGGGATCCATTTATGGAATAATACTATACATGTATTTTTATTGTGTAATTTTTAAGTAACGTAACTGTGTGCATTCATATTCCTCTTATCATGAGCTTTATTTTGACTTGTAGACTATTATTATACGATCTATCATTTTTAAATTATGCCCACTCTATTAATTACAGTCTCCCACAATCACAGTCACTTTTGGCTAGACATTGTACATATGTTATTTTCTATTTTATGGTATGGTGTGGTCTGTTTGGTTTATATTTAAACACAGTATGTTTGAAATACATGATTAATATCACGGAGGCTGAGATTGGTGTTCTGAACTCAACGGAAAGGGCTAGGCAGGAAGAAAGACCGATAAGTACTCTAGAATGCTCGTACGGGTTTATGTGTCATTGGTCCGGTCGATAATTCACTGTTCTCTAATTGGTGGTATCACTACGTTATATTTTAACAGGGCACAAGACCATAAGTTATAACAGTAACCCTTTTGTTCACACAGTTAAAAAAACTAGGGTTGATATTTAGAGTCAGGAGTCAAAGTGAGAGATTACTATCCAGCTACACAAACACACTTGACTACATGCTGGATCACAACAATCACTTAAACTTAATCTGGATCAAGAGTAAATATTTCCTGCAGTTTCGCTCAAACGTCATGTCATGTTTAATGTTTGATTGCACTGTCGATATTTCACATCGATTTCAAGTATTTAAAGCACCAGGAATTGCTAATTTTCACTCAGTTATTATTAACACGCAAGCTACCGTACACTATGGTCTCAATTTCGAGGAAAACACCACGGGCGCTATTTTAATTTCGATTAGTTCGCTCAAGGTCCATAGTATGACATGACTTTACCCTCTTTCTTCGTAGTTAAAAAAATTTTAATCTCATGAGATTAGTGACAAACATATACCAAGATATCTTACTATTTCATTAAAGAAAAATTGTTTAGTAATCGAACACTCAGGTGAGGACAACCAATTTACTATTCAACGAGAAATTACAAAGTTCTTTAGCAAAATATGAAAATCATACGTGAAATACTTCATTTTCAAATTTTCCATCAATTGTTTCTTACAATACTCATCGTTCGTCCCTGTTGTTATTACAACTACTCTCTGTTTACATTCTCTTTCTCTTCAATTCAATCACCTCAACCTTCTTCTTCTCCCAAGCATCGCACTTCTTATTGATATTTCATACCACTCATGTATGTCGACAAAGGTAGCATACATCACACTCACCCCCCCCGTTTAAGCGATCGCTCTTCCGACTGTTCTGCTCGCCTTGCCACTTCAATCTTTGCCGCAGTCTGAGTCACACTCACTATCAAAATGTCGAGCCCGTCAGCTCGCTGATCTCCATAGTTATATCGACCCGCTGAGCCATTTACATCCGATGTCCGCCCAGAAGCCGCACATCCTACTTCTCCTCTCCTTAGATCAGCAGCAAAACGTTTGAAACCAATGGTTTCTTATGTTACTGTTTAAATACTCTGTTACTCTTACCTATTATACATCACTCGTACCAAGGTCTGAACTGTACTTGAGTCATGAAATGTAACTTAAAACACAAGTTATAAATTTTGTAGGCCATTTACCTGTTAATGAATTAAAAATCTAATTATTAGATATTATTCTTACCCTCTGTATCAAACAATTAAAAATGTCGCTATATCAGCCACAATTTATGACCACTTCAACGTTGATAATTATAAGTGGTGAGATATGAATTGAAATAGATAGTAAAATATAACCAACAACTTTTTATGTAATCACTCAACCGAAAACTAAAAATAATGTAAGTTTATTTTTCAAATTTAGTTCTTTTTTTCACTATATCATTAATTTATATACGATACAGTTAAATTGCTTACAACAATGTATGACGATAATTACACTTTCCCTGTGGTGTATGGTGCTTATATCTGTCGACACAAGTAGTATGTAACACCAGTCAGAGACACTTGATGGAAAATGTGCAAATGATATATTTAATGCATAGTTTTCATATTTCACTAAGACTTTCTGTAATTTTGTGCTAGATAATAAATTGGTCTTCCTCACCTGAATGTTTGTTTACTTCATTTGGTGTCGCTGCTAAAAGAGAGGCTGAGAAAGTGAAGTTCTGCAGACACCATTACGGGACCGGGAGAGGAGGCACTAGTTGGGGCGGTCTGTTTAAGAAGGTGGTGTCGGGTGGAGTGCTTTGGTGGGGCGGCATTGATTATAACAGTCGACGGAGAAAAGGGGTGTCACGTCCCGGGTGCTGGACGGACATCGGATTTAGATGACCCGGCAGGTCAGTATTGATTCAGAGGCTAGCTCGCTGGCAGACTCAACATTTTAGAGGGGAGCGTGGCACACACTTCACCAAAGAAGAAAGTGGTACAGCGAGTAGAACAACTGCAAGAGCGACCGCTTAAATAAATTGGTCTTCCCCATCTGAGTGTTCGTTCACTACAACTAAAACTAATTAATTGAGATTTATTATTTTTTTTAAAAAGAAAGAACTCAACATAACAGTTTTTTCATTTTATTTTCAGGTATAATTGAATTAGATTTTCCATTATCCGATCAAGTTCATGAAGGTGTTTGGTTAATACGTGCTAATCATGAAAGATTTTCAGCTGAAAAAACATTTCAAGTTAAAGAATATTGTAAGTTTTACAAATTAGTTTACTAAAATTTTTATACATACCTTTGCTGATAATATAAACTTTGTTTAATGGATGATTTGATATGGATTATATTTACAATTCGATTATATTACAGATAGTATATGCTTAAGAATAAAATTAAATTCAGTTATTTCTTCTTATCAAGTAATTCTGTGGTGTGTGCTACTGTTGTCAACAGATATAAGTAATATGTATCATCAATCAAAAGTGAAATGCCTGGCGGCACAGCGTTAAGAAGATTAATGAAAAAAAGATGAGAACAAAGAATGATTAGTGTGGAAACGAGAAAAACAATGAAGTCCGAGACGATTTATTTACATTTTGTAAATGAAGTATTTACTATTTGGTTCTCAGATTTTACTAAGATGTTCTGTAATTTTGTTTCAAATACATTCGGTTGTCCTCACTTGTGTCCTCGTTCACTACAATTCTCTGATAAAATTTACATTCATTTCTATGCTGATATTTGTATCAAAACTTGGATGAAACTAAAGAAAACTATCAACTAAATAGCATAACTATAATATTTACTTACCTGTTCATTAAATATTCTATTTATGGTTAGTTGTAACATCTTATATTTTCTTTATATAGTTTTAACAACTGAATTTAACTAGCAGTGGAATCCAGGACACGTGTTTCGTCAGGTTTGAGACTCATCGGTTGGATTTGCCTGCATCTCAGAGTTGATGTTCACTCTGGGACTCGAATACCAGTACCGATCGCTTCAAACGCCACTCCGTTATACACTTAGCTACTGAGTCCTGATACCCACTTACTTTTGCAATGGAGTGAAGTTTAAATTCACTTGGTATTGCTTACTTGAATCATCCTAAGTGCTTGTGAATTAAGTCAATATCGAGTCAATACGCACAGTATGCATATCTGCCGATAATAGACTGATCAATTTCAGTCCTAAACATTAATGAGAAGATTCAAGTATACAATACCAAGTGAATTTGAATGTAACTGTTCTGTATTGAACAAGTAGATGTTCCACTAAAAATTGATTTATTAAATATTTTATTAACTGAAATAGTTAATTATTTTACTGTTTTTCAACTATTTTTTTAAAAAAAGGGCGACCTTTATGGGATGTAAATGTAACTCTTCCACTTAGAATAACTGATAATCAACTTGGCCTTTATGGTTTAATATCTGCAAATTATACTAGTGGAAAAGCTGTTAAAGGCAATGCTACCGTATTAATTCAACTAAGGAAATCGGGAGCTGATCGTTGGACTAACCCACCTCGAGCTGAATTCAGACGTTACTTATTAGCAGTAAGTGTATATCTAAGTTTATTTATTGTTTTCTTTACAACCACATAAATTTATCTTCAATGAGTGGACATCCTTTTCTTCAGATATTAGATTGTTTACCGACAAAATGAGCTATCGTTTTCCTAGTTCTATGTTCAATTAGGTATAGATTATTAAATATTCAGTCTACTAGTATTTTGATTCAAACTATTTAATCTTTACTTTTGTATGGCTTGGAGCGGAATGGAGTATGACATATTCACTTCCTATTGATTAAGTGGGGCGGCCAAACCAAAACATGGCACAAATCCATGAAGTCACTGACAAATGGACTGAGCCATGTTGGTAGATGTAGACTACGTGGTTGAGATCGCGAGACGATAGTGACCGATGGTTAGAGACCTTGAATGACATGGCTCAGAATCATCTGCAGTGGCGCATGTGCATCCATTCTCTGTGTTATCCCAAATTCTAATCTTCTGGATTATTTATCTTCCTATTCTCTCTTTCCAAATTTATTTCACTGGATTATACTCCTTGAATAACATCATCAAACCCTAATCCTTCCGATTACTGCCTATACTTTTACTACCTCTACTACTGTGGGATTTGAATCGACAATTGTATCTGTGTGCTAATGTGGTATGGCAACTTGAACTGGTGTATGTACGTACGAAGTTCTATGTTGTTGTTGACTGATTATGTGTTTTCATTATTTATCAATTATAAAGATCTTTTGATATTTACAAATGCATTAATCGAAATTTCTAGTGATAATAACTTTGATAAGGTATACTACTTGAGATTTATGTAGATCATGCATGAGGTTGCACAGTCAAATAAATGTTAATTTAGCCTTATTAACAAGCATAAATTTGTATGCTCAGAATTAAGTAACACTTTTTACGTATGACTTTCAATGATTTTTACCTGATAACCCAATATAAGTGGAGCAGTTTGAGTTTAAAACTCGCTAGTTGAAAGTCAAGAACTTTATTAACTAGTGAATCACTCCAATATTCAAATCATATCAACACCGATAATAATTCTGCAGAATGTATTTTTAGACATTTGTTGATCAGAGACCAAAAGTCTGGCAAAATTATTTAAAGATTCTTATTATAGGATTCATCACACCATTCAGCCTGTTTCCATAGCTCAAAAGATTTTTGTTTTATTGTCATATATCGCAGACAAACTTTAGTTAAACAGCTACTGAGCATCGAAACGCCCTGAGTAGATGTTTCGTCCTTGTATAGGAGTTCTCAACACTATTTATTTATGAGCTTACTTAAGATTAAAGCCATGACTAATAGACCATGCACTTCAGCTTTAAGCTACTAAGCTTCAAGCCAATATCGCTGATTGAATAAATCACTGGATTCCGAATTAATGTTCTGAATTCCGAGAACTTTCCGCAGAATTTGAAGGCTCCGGACTCCAACCCTTGTGAGGTCATGAATATCCACTACTAAGGACTCTCGTACAAGAAATAAACCGATATTTAGTCCTTCTTGGTTTCCATTGGTTGTCTAGTTAAAGTCAGTTCTCATAGCAAAACTAAAATATTCAACCATCTCTACACTGTACTATCTTAAAACAGTTCTCAGTATTTTATTTATTTGCATTTGATGAGTAATTGAAAAACAACTGTTTTTTCTTTTAAAAATGGATGATTATGGAGTTACTTTTTATCACGGACTGGGATCAGCTAAAAAAAAATTATTGAAAAAATATGGTGTACTGTGCGTCATCTGTTCATACAGATGATTCAGTTCAATAACCATTTGCTGACAATCCAGCGTTATAACGGTCAGATCAGTGAATTACATTTATGTAGGATATGAAATCAACCTCTGTTTAAGTACTAATATGGTTTTATATTCTTGTGTATTGTATTCCTACATTATTGGAGTTCTAAGTTTCCTATGCTATGAAAGGAAGATTAAGTATGGTAAAACTGTTCAGAGATATTGTAATCAGATATATGCTTCAATAAGCTATAGATATTCAGTTCTGATTGATTTGGTGACCTGCTTGAATATCTGGGCTACCTGTTCCTGTCATCTAAATATTTGAACAACTTATCTGTTTTTTCTTTATTTTAACACATAATTATGTCTATTAATCGCATAACCTACTTAGGCGCGTTCATGAAAAGTTTACTACCTTTCACTGTACAATCAGGGACGTTGTGGTTGCTGACAATATACATCATGAAGATGTCGATTCATGAACTTTAACATCTAGCTGGGGATCACCAAACGTTTAACGTCAGGATGGATCAAGAAATAAGAAGAAGAAACTTGTCGAAATACTGAATAATAATAACAATAATAATAATAATAACGTAACAAAACAATCATACATTAATTTTATTGATAAGTCTTTTTCGTAATAGTTTTGATTAGTTACTTCAATAAATCAATGCTAAATCTATTCTCAACGTGTTTCAAACAAAATGATTCGTGAAACCTTTAAGAAAGCTGAGTTAATCTTTGATTGTAATCATTTATATACTTACTTTTTTTCTCGAATTCAATGAGCATATTTATTTGCAAAAAGTATACCTCAGTTAAGTTTGAAAGAATGATCTTAACACCATGTATGTTTAGACTTGATTATTAAATAAATTGTTTTTGATTGAGATCATTAACTGATTGATTTTAGACCACCATTGAAGACCTGGAAGCACTGGACGGCCGTTTTGTGCTATTGTGGGAATTCTCAGCAGTGCGCACCCACGATCCCGCTCGCGGAATTTGAACCCAGGGCCTTCAGTCTCGCGCGCGAATGCTAGACCTCTAGACCACTGAGTCGGCATCGAACGGTGTTAATGTCTAACATCAACCAATCCGCGAAATTTCACGAACATCTTCCATTGTACTGAGTTAGATACCTGTCTCTACCCGACAAGGATTAGCTAACATCAATCACTTCATGATCTCAATCAAAAATTTAGTAATCTCCACAACCCTATATTGATAATAAATTGTTTATTTATAATTTTGTTTAAATGTTAGTTATGTATAAATTTTGCATCAGTTTTATATTCATATTTCAGTTAGATGGTATTGGAGATTTTCTACTACCTATGTCTGAAATACGTCAAGCTATAAGTAGTTCTACAACAGATTCTTCTTTAGCTAATACAGAAATTTGGGTAAATGTAACCTATTTTAATTGGTGGGAAAAAACTCATCGAACTGGTTGGGCATTTACAAAAGTATATTCTTCTAATCCATTGATTAAATTTCTTGGCGGTATGGTTCGACCTTTTAAACCTAATATGTATTTCACTGTTTACGTAAGTTAGTCTTTATCATACATATTTATATGTATTTACTTACTTTAGATTCTTTACATTTTATATTATGATAAGTCATCTAATTTGACGCTACATTCGGTTCCTAAACTCTTCTAGTAGCACCCAGGCTAAATCTACCCATCGACTTGAACATGAAAGAAAAGACGCAAAATATCAAAGAGAACGCTTTACTCCAAAAGCTCGTTTATGTACAGAAAATCTAGGGTTTTTATATTATTTTAGATGTCCATTGGTTTCCGGAATGCCACGAAACATAGTTGCAGTATAATTATTCATCTAATCAGAAACTCGACATGTGACTTTTCACTTTTGTAAATGTTTCTGGCAAAGCTTCTACTGAACGCTGACTGGATAAGATGCTTCTCAGTGTTTTCAGAGCCTTTTTTGGCTTTTTCTTTCGAGGAGTTTTATGGATCTCCCCAACATATTATACCTTGCTCACAGTTCTCAACACCTAGGTCAAAGTATTAAATGTTATCTCATTTTTCTCATCAATTCTCACCGTGTTATTAATCTTCAAATAATTAGTAGAGAGAGTATAGTGGAGTTTACAAAACTCTACTTTCATATCATTTTTCGAGTAGATAGATAATCAGATCGTAGAAAAACCTTTTTGGTATATTCATCTTAATCAAATCCATTAATCGTTATGTAATTCAATGTAATGTTAACCATCGAACCATTTAGCATACAATCAGTTAAACTACATTTTTCAACCGATCATTAAGTGTTTATTTCATTTTTACCATATTTTGTATAATTTTCTCTTAAAAAAGAACATATTGATATTTTATTAATATCAGACGGGTTTTATGGATATTAAAGTAATTTCAATGGCTAAGATCATGAGTCAGTTGAAGCTAGACCACCATGGAAAACGGCCATCCAGTGCTTCCAGGTTTTCCATGGTGGTCTATCTTCAACTGACTCATGATATTGATATTTATTTTATTTCACTAAAATTTCTTTCCAATTTTTGCTCAGTTGGTTGTTTATATGGCAGATGGTAGTATGGTAAAATATAGTGGAAATCGTAAAGTTACACTCTCATTCTATTGTCTTGATAATACTTTTGAAAAACAAATCACTCTGCCTATATCAGATGATGGTGTAATACGTTATACTTATAGACCAACTGGAGATGGTTGTATCACTTATAGATTAGAAGTAAGTTTAAATAATTAATTTTTATTTCTATTTCAATTACACTAATTTGGTAATATTAGTTGATGGTCATTTCTTGTATATTTTAATGATAGTACTAATCAAATGTTTTTATTATGGATCACTATTTCGTAGACTGATACTGATACATAAACTCCTTATAAGCTACTCGATGACCGACTAGTGTGTGAGAAGGCTAACAGTCAAAAATGAAGTTTGTTGTGCTAAACTGGTTCACATGCGTAAGCATATACATATACATATACCTTAGAGAATATCACCATCTATTAACCAATCACGTTCATTTGTTAGATTTTTGATTGGAAAAGGATGGCCTTTTCATTTGGAGACTTTTGATCGGCTTACTATTACAGTTTTTAAGACAAAAGCCTTTTCTTCCTCTTTCGATTTATAATAAATTATATAAAACCACTTTGATTTACATATATATGTCTTCTGATAAAAGTAGACAGATGCACCGCTAAAATGCCCAGCTGTGTCCAGTAATTAGATCACATTATCTTATCTGTATAGATACCTTTTGATAGGTAACACCCAACTACGTGTGCCATACGTGCAGATGTAACACTATTGTGTTATTGTATCAATAATTACTATCGAATAAACACCATTTGTATGTTATACAACTCATGAGCGTTTATATTTCACTCAGAGTTCGTATAGAAAATATGAAATGTAAATACTTTCCATAGACAAATTATGTATAACTACATTTATTAATGTTGTTTTTAATAAAGTGGGTAATATGATCATGCAAGCATTTTACAGTACAGAAATAGTCTGACTGATGTTGGCGGTCTGCTGGAATATCTAGGCTACTGTAGTGAACAAGAATACGAATGGGGACAACCGAATGCATTTGAGCACAAAACTACAGAACATCTCACTAAAATCTGAGAACCATACAGTAAATAGTTTATTTGCAAAATATCAATCATTCGTCTCAAACTTGACTGTCACTTTTGCAAATATCGGTCTATCGTCTCGAATTTGATTGTTAATACATTTTCGTAGGAATTGCTTTTCGTTCCCGTTCTTTCCCTCTCGATCTTCCACTGAAATACATTCTATGTCTGACCATCGTCAAATACTACTTATGTGGATATAAGTAGCTCACACCACATTACTTGATCCTGTCACCTAGATATTCCAACAAGTTATCTGCTTTTTGTTTGTTTTAACATATCATTTTGTCTATTATTTACATAACCTATTCAAGTACGTTTATGAAAATTTTACGACCTTTCGCTGAATAAGCTACAAAACTATACAGTCGGTGACATTGTGGTGGCTGGAAATATTCATCAAAAAGGATGTACATTAGTCAGATGTCAATTCTTAGATTGCAAACATTTAACTGATGATCACTCAATATTTATCTTCAGGATTGATCAAGAAATAAGAAGAGGGAACTTATTGAACTATTCTATACCGAGAATTTTATAGTGTAACAAAGATCTAATATTGAATGAAGCCATTAATAATAATAATAATAATTATTATTATTATTATTATTATTATAATTATAATTATAATTATAATCTAAGTAAAGGAATCTTATTACTGTAGCATTTTTCTCCATTTGTAGTCAGTAACTATTTGATAGCATACGTTAACTAACGTAGCATCAATATTTATTTTTTTCTTAAGATAAAGGATAACTTCTTATTTTTCATCTGGGGGGAGGGGTGTTCAAACTTTGATATTTAACACTTTCTAACATCCAGATTAGCTGTGGGTTATTTTTACAAATCTCGTTACCACACTCATTATGTGAATTGGTTGGTGATAATTGAATTTTTTCTTGGTTCTAGTAGAAAACTCTATCAGATGACAGAGAGGTGAATAAGGCTAATTAGTGAATATACTTACATATAAATAACACAGATGAATTGTCATACTAACATGCATTGGGTTAACATGAAAACATCAACGATTGAACTTAAAATTCACGAAACGTCTACTATCTTGGAGTAAAATGACTGAAGGAAATTTAAATTGTTATGATATACATATGTGTGTTATATTCTTAATAAATATTTGTTTACATAATTAAACATGATTATTTTTGACTTTCAGGCTAGGTACATTGATGAAACAGATCGAATTTTATCAAATGATCAACAACGTTTATTTGCTGTGAACTCTTATTCCGGTGCATATTTACAGTTATCAACATCAACTTTTTCACCTAAAGTAAAACTGAATATGAATAATATATGCCTAAATAATTCTATGACAGTTGCCTTTTTTTGCTCTAAATAATGTATTTATTCAGTTAATCCTACCTTGACATGATAAACTGATCTACTAATGAGTTCCGCTATTGATAAATATGGAATACTGATAGTTAAATTCGTTAGCTGGTCTAAACTAGAGTACCATTGAAAACCTGGAGTCACTGGACGGCCGTTTTGTCCTGGTATGGGACTCCTCTTCAGTGCGCGAGACCGAAGGTCCTAGGCTCGAGTCCCACGTATAGGATCATGGATGCGCACTGTTGAGGAGTCCCATGCTAGGACGAAATGGCCGTCCAGTGCTTCAAGGTTTTTATTGATGGTCCAGCCTAGATTGACTCATGAACCCAACTATTAGAATTAATAAAATCTCCATTCTGATAATTATGGAATGAAACATTAGAAATACAGTCTTTCTACTTATTAAGACATAACAAAAAATATATTTGTTGTTAGCTTTCTACTCAACCCTCAGTTTTTTTGAAACTATCAAGCCCAACCTAAGCATTGATACCTACAGAGAAAGAATGATTGTTTTTATTATAAGTTGTCAATCTTAGTTTTTAAAAAAACAACCTATAATTATTTATTCCCTAAACAAACTTGTCCATAACTAATTGAATATCATTTGATCATATAGATTTGTAAGGTTTGTGTAAACGTGACGTCTTTTTTTCAATAATCATTACTATGAAGTACTTCGTTTCCGTAAAAATTTGTGTAAACTTGTCTTTTCAAAGTTAAAATCACGGACATATCTTAGCTGTTTCACTAGTCTAAACCTGGAAGCACTAAATACCCGTTTCGTCGTAATATGAGGCTCCTCAGTAGTTCGCATCCATGACCCAGCACGCGGACATTTGACCCAGGACCTCCGACGTTGCGCGGAAACGCCTGACTTTCGGACCACTAAGCCGGGATCTAACAGTGTCAGTGTTTAGCTTCAATCAATCCATAGTCATGCACAACCCTTTCATCGATTACCTTCAGTGGATAAGTGTTTCACAACTGATACAGATTAAACTGCACTGAAGAAATTATTAGCAAATTGTCGTATGATCTACACCTTCTGAAGTTCAAGATAAAGACGTATAAGTACATAAAGATTTGTTTAATTTGAGATTTTCATCAACTTATGGTCACAAAATAGCAATTTTTGAATGTGCTACACGAACTTTATCTCAATATGCACGAAAGTATTTGAGGAAAACAATAAAATGAATACAATACACTACTGAATAATATTAGTTAGTAACATAACATTTTTCAAAAAAATACTAAACTAATTTTTTTATGGTATTTTGTAAAAAAGTAAATAGTGCTTTAGTCAAAAGGTTTCTGGATTTGATTCTTAATATTTATTTCCACGAATCGTTGTTTTTACTCTTTATCTGTGATCTCATCAATGTCACGCAATAAAAACAAGATAATTTAAGTATCACAATTCATAATCTATGACCGTTTTCGAAGGATAGATTCATTAATCCTTATAACTTTATACTTCTGTCAATTTCATTCTTGTTCATTTTACCCAAGAATTTTCCCATTTCACCGGATGTCTATTTTCATATTGTTGAGTTAATAGTAGAATATGATCCGTTGTATGTAAATGTTTAAGACACACTAGATATGGTTATTTAATTAGGTCTACGCTATTTTGATGTAGTTCTACTGATGCACTTCTGTGTTGAACACAGTTTTTTTTAACATCTTGGCGGTTTCGATTACTAAGATCTTGTCTCATTACTTTAGTTTCATAGCAACAAATAGCAAGTTATCTGAACATATCGAGTTTCAGTAAACATACAAGATAGTATATGAAAATAAAAAGTCCTCACTTGTCGAATCGTATCGTTCTGACAGTTTTCTTTAAATCACTAAGTAATAACGGTTATCAATACGTTTGCTGTAAATCTTAATTGTCCTAAATTTAACAATTAGATTTATTGAATTCGGTCATCGTTAAAAATATTACGGAATAAGTTAGATTGATACTTTTCAATATGCTTATAAGCATAAACCGAAAATTTTCTAAAACTCCATTTATAAAGCCTTCCTCTTCTTACGTAATATTATGAAGTTACTGTTGTTTTTTTTCACTGGATTTTACAAGGTAAATGAATATATGGTTATACATGTACAAACTAATTATCCTACTGATAAAATACATTATGTGGTAAGTTATTTGGTTGAATTATTTCAATAGTATTCTTATTAAAATAGCCCATAGTGTCATTGAATGATGGTTTAAATAAGTCACCCATCTTTTGTCGGTTAGACAACCATTGGAAATCAAGAAGCATTGTGTTATGCTCTTAGCTTATTCGATTATTGCGAAATATGGTTGCCAATTTAGATACATTGACTTATAAGACAAAACTAAAAGCGCATACACTAGTACGAACGACCTAAAGTTCCGATTGGCCCTATATCCGCCTAGCTCTACCTGTGAAGTTCAGAACGCTAAATTCATCCCCCGCGATGCGAACCGCATATTTCAAACATACTAGGTTTATACGCAAGCAGAATCCGACCACATCACACTATAAAATAGAAAATAACATTTGTACAGGATCTAGGCAAAAGTGGCTGTTATTGTTGGAGACTGTAGTTGATAGAGTAGGCATAACTTGAGAATAGTAAATCATGTAATAATAACCAATAGGTCAATTACGAGCTTGCAATAAAAGGAATATAAGTATATGTAGTTTAGTTAACAATTATACAATGAGAATATATGTATATTATCAGTCTATAAATAGATCCCAACAATACCATTCATTATTCTCGTCAACATATAACACACTGGACAGTCGTTTCTTTTCAGTTCGAGACTCCTTAACAAAGTCAATCCATTTTATGAAATTTCAGGTTAAGCAATCTCTACAACACTCTATAATAATTTTCCTTCTGTACTTTGATCAGCTTAAATTGAAAATAGACAATAATCTATTTCATTGCATAGTTTTTTGTCCATTCTTATTTCTCATTAGTCCAAATACTTCTACCAAACGCCAAACGTTCTCGTCAGAAATAGATAATTTCCGTTGTACACTATGTAGCTATTCCACATGGAGTGTTAAGAACACTAACCAATTGTGAAAGATGTTCAGGCGGACTGTATAATTCGTGACAAACTTCTAAATTTTCCATCTAGTATGAAAACAAGTAATTAGCTATACTGTTCTAGTATAAGACCATTTAGTAACTCATGAATTGTAAAAACGTCAGTTTCAAACCTGTGATTGCCGCATCACCATTTATTCTAATGAACTGAAATACGTTTAAACTTCGCTTGAAGTGGAAATTTGTTTTTAAATCCAGCACTGGGATCCTGGCTTTTCCAGCTGACGAGCCCTAAATGGAACAAAACAGTTCTATATACGAATACAGCTATATCTTTAATACAGATTACCCACGCATAACAAATTATTAGAATAAAATATTGTATAATTTAACACAGGCATATCTGCTTTCTTTTAGCATTAACTTACTGTCTATTGTTTATTGTCATCAACTTCCTCATCAATTGAATTAATCTTTTTTAGGTTGTTTCTAACGGAAATATTTTAGCAACTGATCAATTACGTATGCCAAATGCAGTTACATCACGTACATTTTCAATTGCTGTATCACGTTACATGTTTCCAATATCACATATTGTGGCATATTTTATTAAAGACAATAGCGAAATTGTATCAGATTCATTGACATTTTATGCGAATTATACACATTTGAATAATGTACAAATGCAAGTTAATCGTGGAAAAGATTTAAATCAAGACACATTAGAAATCAGAGGTTATGCTAAACCTGGATCTTATATAGCATTCAGCGTAATGCATGCTGATTTGTACGCTATTGGTGGTGCTTCATTTCTACGAGAATATGATGTGAGTTCAAATTCAGCAATTATAAAATAGTACTCTGTTTTCAATACTTTATCTAATTTCATTGGGTATATTATTTCAATTTCATTAGACGTTATTCCTGACATGGAGCTCTTTCATGCATAAAGCTATTTCGTTGACTGTTCACTGTTCCGGAATCCAGTATAAGATTTTCTGTTGAATATGTTATCATCGTGTTAGAACTACATGTTGATTGATTAACTATGAACTAAAAACCTCATTTTTAAATATTCATGTATTGACTACGAGATTTATGGGTAACAATGTAAATAAATAGTATTCCAACAAATCTCACAATTTTGCTCCAGGAGGTCCACTTATCGACTTAGAATACTCAGATGATATAGTCTTGTTTGGTGAAGACGCTGATAAAATGCAAAGTCTTCTGACAGCACTGAGCAACAATGCCAAGACGTTTGGGATGTGCTTCTCCACCTCTAAATGCATGCTTCAGGACTCATCTGCGTCAACATTTGAACTAAGGATAGGGAGTGAATTATTCAAACGCGTTGACAACTTCACTTGTCTTGGAAACCTGATCAGCGCTAATGGATTGGTGTCTGACGAAATTTCTGCACGGATTCGTAAAGCTCGTTTGGCTTTTGCAAACTTACGTAACCAATGGCAAAGGCGAACTATCCGTCTATTAATTAAAGGATGAGTATACTGCGTAGCAGTTCGTTCTGTTCTACTTTACGGCTGCGAAACGTGGCCACTAAGGGTAGAAGGTACTCGTAAGTTACTAGTATTTGACCACAGATGTCTCAGAAATATTGCTCGCATCTGCTGGGATCACCGGGTAAGTAATAGTGAGGTTAAACGCAGAGTATTAGGGAATGATGGTAAATCAGTTGATGAGGTTGTAAAACTTCGTCGACTAAGATGTTTGGGCCACGTGTTACGTATGCCTGAACACGATTACCACGATGCGCAATGCTGACACTAGTGTTGGGAATGGTTGGAAGAAAGTTAGGGGCAGTCAAACCAAAACATGGCATCAGTGCTTGAAGTCACCAACTTCTAGTCTGAGCCGTGTTGGTAGATGAGGACTATTTAGTTGGGATCCACGCGACTATCGTAACCAATGGTTGAGGACTGTGGCTGACGTGGCTCAGAATCGATCACAATGGCGTAGGTGCGTACACTCTATGTCTTTCTTTAAACTATGAGACTAAAATTGCTTTATACATTTCTTTCTACGAAGTAATTCTTTCTTTCTGTACTATATCCTTACATAAAATCTTTTCTTTATATATTACACCATTGAGTTATCTGCTTCTATAAATCTGGTGTTCGGCTTGCTGTGCTAATGAGGTGTGGCAACTTGGACCGATGCATGTATGTGCCTGGTCCTACGTTGTAACTGACTGACTGACTTGTAAACAGTAATAAACACTTCTATTTAGTTGGTCTATTCTATTGTATTTCGTTTAATACTTAGAGAAATTTGTGAACCTTTAATTATTTATAAGAATTGTACGTAATAAATACGATTCCTTTGTTAAAATTCATGAAATGATCGACTTTATGGTGTTAGAGACGAGTGATTCGAAATTTTATTTCGAATTATTGTTAAACATTATCATTTAGGAAATAATTTTACCAAAAATATATTGAACATCATAAATATAAATGAATTATACAGAGATGGATGGTGTGAAGTTTAATTCACCCAATCGCACAAGCTATTGGTTATCCGAGCTCAGTAATTAAGTGGATGACGTAATGGTGTTTGAGGAGAACACAAGTTGGTTTCAGCACTTGAGTGAACATCAACTGTGGGATGCAGATACATCCAGCTGACACGTGCCAAATAAGATGAAACACGTGTCCTGTATTACACTGCTAGACACCATCCATATTTGCTTATAATGATTGTGATTTAAGATAATATCGAGGCAATCCGTACAGGATGCATATATGTCAATCAGAGACTGATTTATCAATTACATTCGTAAACATCAATGGGATGATTCAAACAACCAGTACAAAAATTAACTAAATGGATCAAATTACATTTTTACTAAAACCATTCGTTCATTATTAAATATCAGATTATATTAGTTATTTATATATTTTTAATTATCAGATTGTCGATGAATTAATGACATATGAACAACATAGTCAAGCACCATTGGTTCATACATGGTATGAAGATTTTAAAGATATTAAACGTATCTATTTACCGACATCCAGTAATGGAGCAGATACCAATAGTACAATGAATTCATCCGGTTTAATTATATTCACTGATGCTAATTTCACTAAAGCGAATTTTTATCGTAAGTTCTCAAAAATGTTATTGAATAGTTTAAAGATAATTAACTTTATGCATAATACATGATCTTGGATAATAAGATGTAAAAAGGATACTAATGAAAGGAGATGTGTGTTTTTCTTTCCTGTATTTTCCGAAATTCCGATTTCGTCCAAATCATTTTCAGTGTTTTACAACTCGATGAAACTTATTTTATCCAAAAATGTAATAACTTTTATGATAGGCAATAGGAAATAATATTTAAATAATACTATTTCATACAGTTAAATGCTAGCCACCATACATCTTTGGATGTAGTGCCTGTGACTTAGAGCAATCCATACAGGATGTACGTAAGAGACTGATCAATTTCAGTCCTAAACATCAATCAAAAGATTCAAACAAACAATACAAAATGGATTTATGACAAAGGAATAGCTTAAAATCAGTTAACTGAGATCAGGAAAAGGATTATTGAAAAAAAATGGTTACTTCGTTTAAATTTTGAACACAATTCAGTAGTGCCCTTGATAGATCACATATTACACTGGATTTTCGATGTGCATATTTTTCTCTCTCCGTCTCTGAGATACCGACTTTTAATCCACATGTTCACATAATTTTCAGAAATAGAGAGAAATAACTTATAACCATTTTTCATTTTCTTTTTTTAATGAAACATTGTCATACAAAGCAATTAATCATTCGTGTTACCGTGAAATAAATATTGTAGTGAACGAGAACACAATTGGGGACAATCGAATGTATTTTAATATAAAATTACAGAACATCTTAGTAAAATCCGAGAACCATACAGTAAGCAATTCATTTGCAAAATGTCCTTAAATCGTCTCAGACTTCATTGTTCCTTCGTTTTCACACAAATCGTTCTCGTTCTATTGTCTTCGGTCCTCTTAACCCTCTGCCGCCAGGCATTTCTACACACACCACAGTATGATTAGATCAACTCCTTTGAAAGAAACACTAAATTGTCCACAAGGATTTTTCATCGAAATCTGTTTTGGTCAATCATTTCCAGTTGCTTTCAAGCACTATTCATTCTTTTGATGTCTACCTCCAATTCCTGATGCAATGTGTTCTTAAGTCTTCCTCTTTTGTTTATCCCTTTAGGATTCCAATTTAAGGCTTGTCTCGTGACGCAGTTTGATGATTTCCGCAATGTATGTCTTATCCATCTCCATCGTCTTTTCCTAATTTTCTCTTTAGGTGGTCGTCGGTTTGTTTTCTGACACAGTAGTCTGTTGTTGATGGTATCCGGTCAACAGACATTGAGTATCTTGTGTAGACAGTTGTTTATAAATGTTTGTACATTTTTGATGATGATTATAGTAGTTCTCCCATTTTCACCTCCATACAGTAGAACTGTTTTGACGTTCGTATTTAAAATCCTGACTTTGATATTTGGTTGACAGTTGTTTTGACGTTCCTATTTTCTTCAAGTATTTCATTGTAAGTAAGAAAAGATAAACCGAAGCAACCATTTTTTTAAGTTACTTTTATAAAAATTTTATTGTCTTTTAATTACTTTAGACATGTAACACATGTACCGCAACACTCTCGTTTTGTAGTATTGATTGTAAACATTTTAATTGATCATTTAACTTGATAGCGGCTATCGAGAAGAGTAGATCGTCGATAGCTGCAATCGATATATTAGCACGAGCGTAACAGGTTGAAGAGTCTTCTAACGAAAGAGCATAGAAATCAAATAAATCTAACATTTCTCAAAAAAAAAATTAATTTTGTGAATACTTCTAACTATTATTTAATCAATAGATACATGTAATGAAACTGAGAACCCTGCACGTGCCTTACCATGCTACTCTCTTACTGGTCGAGATTGTTATTCAAGAAGTGAACGATGTGATGGGATCAATCAATGTGCTACTTGGATTGATGAAATGGACTGTCCAGAAAATGAAACTAAAAATCCCCAACCATTACGTCTAATAAATACATTTGATATATTAAATCGTCAATGGAATGATGGTGCTTGGTTATGGCATAGTACATTTGTCAAGTAAGTAGTATCTGTGTATGATGTTTAAAATAAATAAAACAACCACAGTAAATATCGTGTGGCTGTAAAAGTACTGATCGCAGTTGGGTACATGATGGAAAATACAAATGCATTTTCGCTTTATTTATCTCTCGAAATATCTAATTTGACTTGAGAAGAAAACTGATTAATTCGTTAATCAAAGATGACTCCGATTACGTTGATGATGATGATGATGTGATAAATCGAAAAGTCAGTAGCTAGATAAGGGCAGAACAATAGCTTTCATCAACTAAATCATGGTCAAGCAATTTACGTAAACAACAATTATAAACATCAAATTGGTTAAGTTGCAAAAATTGAGAGTTGAGCGTCCAGAATAGGAAAATAAGTCCAAGTGAGATCGTCTTTTGCCCTTAATATCACTCTTTTAGTCGCTTAAATGAGTAGAATTTAGACATTGAAAGTGAAAAATAATAGGTATAGTTTTGTGCTCCGAAATACTGTTTTTGTGTGATTAGAGACAATTATTTGAAAGCTCTGAACCTTTATGTTGTGCTAGTTGGTACTCGTCAGCAAGATTTATTTGCAAACAGAAGCGAACTGATGGCCGTTGTGGAGTCCATACCCAAGTCATCCAATATCATATTCAGAGACATTATGATTGAGTTATTCGGGTCAGAATTGATCTCATCTAGGACTTTGCTTCATGCTCCCTAATTGATCACCAAGTATTATTCCTTGTTATGTTTTCCAGTTATTAAGACAGATCGGATTGGATTATGACAACTAATCTACCTGAAATGAATACACAGTGAGCTGTATTTAATGATGAAATACAGTATTAGACTTCTAAGCTGGATAGTTGGATATAAAGAAATGATAGTTATGTATGTACGTGCAATAGTGAAGTAACCATCGATTTCGTCGATAATTCCTATGCTTCAGTATGTAAGTTCGTTAGCAAAAGTTCTTCATTCATTTCAGAGTTTTTATCTATTCCCTCCAAGATAAGAAACAATGACATAAAGTTCGATTCTTTGAGAGAGTCATTCAATACTCCTTACTCATCGCGTGACATAATCAACGAACTGCAATTGTTGCTGAAATCCAAGAATCATAATAATCCATGTGTATATATCAGACTTGAAAATGTGAAAGCTAATTTCTTTCTGAAACAGTGAATGAAAGAAATTCAAGTTTTAAAATGAAATACTTACTTGTAATTTGCTAATTAAATGCACGTTTTTGTACTACATAGATTTAAGACTATAAATACGCTTACTTATGTGGATGTAGACAGTCAAATTGTACCCCTGAACTTATTTTGCGTGCTAGTTATTTATAATCATCAGGGGACGGATGTTATTTGTGGCTTTAGAACGCACATATTTGTAAGAAGTCGAAATTATTATAAATCTTATATGAAATAATATTTTTTCAGTATAAAGTTGTGGAGATTGTTAAATTTCATTGAAATTACAAACCAACGTTAGACAATCACTGAGATCCTGTAAGCATCGGACACCCGTTTTGCTCTAGTATGGGACTCGTCAGCATTTTGGATCCAGGACCTCCACGCGGGGATCTAACCGAAGACTTCCGTGCTCTCATGCGAACGCCTAACCTCCACATAACTGAACTAGATCTAATGGTGCATAAGTCTAATTTTACTCAGTTCATGATACTCCGCGACCATTTTATGTTGTCTCTGGCGGGTACCTCTCTCTCACCCGACACTTCTCAGCCGAACTGGTCACAGCTTTTCCCTAGAATTACAGGAATTCCATCTCAAAGCCAGTCACTACTGAGCACATGATGATTGCCGGTGTGAGATTGCGAAGATTATTGAATTTAATTGAAATCCATAAGTGATCAAAGTTTAAGCCAGACTTGTACACCAGTTGACCATGTATCAGTGGTCTATAGATCAAGGGTTCGCGCACGAGACTCAAGGTTTACGGTTCGATTCCTGTGTTCGGGATTTTGAATATGCACTTCTAAGCACTCTCATAATGAGACGAAGCAGGTGTCCATTGCTTCCAGGTTTCAAATGGTTCTCTGGACGTGATCGATTAATCATTTCAACAATAGCTTTTCTTGTCTGAAATTCTAAATTTTACTTTCATTCAATCATTCCATTACTTTAGAGCTGATGGACAAATTCAATTTCGTGTTGATCTACCAAAAATGAATGCTGACTGGGTAGCTGGTGCATTTTCAGTTGACAGTGAATTAGGTTTAGCTTTAATGCAACAACCTTATTTATTTTCTGGCACAAGACGATTTTATATGACAGTTGAACTACCTGAAGAAGCTGTCTGGGGTGAACAGATCGGTGTTCGTGCTTGTCTTTTTAATAATTGGAACTATTGGATTGAGGTAATTAAAAGTTTATGGATCGATTTGGCTGAAGCGTTTGTGCGAAGAAATTGAGTACCCGGACAAAATGTTTCATAAGAAGCAGGACAAAATACTACTAAAAACTAGGATTCTTTCTATCCTCCCTAGCATATGTAGTCACATCCATTATTTGTAAAGCGTTCGGTGAGGATGTTGGATTTTTTGTGCTCGTTGTTTCCTCCACTATGGCTGAACGACGATGCTAGTGAAATACAGAGAGCGTATTTAACTTCTTATATCTTCCATCGATTAATTACTTCGATAAAACATAAAAATAAAAATTCGAATACGAATTGCATTTTGAATATGTAAATTTGAGATACTCATGTGAGCAGGTAAACTGAACGACAGAACATGTACATTGAATACACGCTGACAGAAGCATCAATAAAAGTTTTCTCAGTTAATAGTGGACGACTTACAGATAACCAATTAAAGATGTTCGACACACATAAGTTGAGCACAATTAAACTGTTATTAGTTGAAGGGATTTGTGAAGATTGTAGAAGTTTAAAAATTTAAATTACGAACTGATCTTAGTTAGTCCACCATTGAAAACCTGGGAGCACTGAGCGGCCGTTTAGTCCTCATATGGGACTTCTTATCAGTGCACATTCCAAAACCTGCAGGGGGTAGTCGAACGCAGAATCTTTGGTTTCGGGCTCAAACTTTTATCCTCTAGATCACTGAACCGACATCATACGGTGTTAATACCTAGTCTTACCCAATTTACTGTATCTCTCAACCTCCATCGATTGCCTGCAGTGGATAACTGTCTCACGCGACATGGATTGGACTCCACTAGTCACGGCTTTTCACTGCAACTTCGTGAGTAACATCTTCGAAACTGGTCATCAGTGTACACATAGTTATCAATAGTAGTATGAGAGGTTTTCAGGAAATTTTTAGATTTTTAAAGTTTAAATCACAAACTGACGAGTCACGTACTGGGAGCAAATGGACGTCCAATATTTATGGGTTTTTATTGGTAATCTAGCTAAGATATGTTCAAAGCTAACAGTAAATAGTTGACAACACAATATTTTTGGAAAATAAACATGGAATAATACAGGCAAACAGAGATAGACATCCATACATGCAATATAATCAATAAAGTTACAAATAAACATCTAAAAGTCAGAAAAAGATGAAACAATACTTTATACCAGTCTGTCATATTAAGTAATTGTTCATGAATAAATTGATTAGGGATCACAATAGGTCACTACAGATTGAAGCACAGTACTTTAGTATTTGAATCCCAGTCAACAACTAGTAATATTTCAGAGAATTGGGCATATATTCTAACCTTCTCTCTCGCTCTCTCTCACAAACACACTTAATCTCATCAGCCTCTTTCGTCTTGTCTTGGCAATAAAATTTTATCACATGTAAGCTGATTTCATCTGCATTCAATCTGTAAGGTTGAATACAACTGTAATCTTTTTCCAAGCATCTAAACTCAAAAGGGATTATTGTCATTGGTTTCTTGCTATTGTCACATAATTTATGACATGAACGTGGATGATTAACAGCTTTCTGTAATAACTCTCTTTTAAGTGAGTAATTTCATTTTGTTTAGTATCTAAATATTTGCTGCAAAATCTATACCAATCGATAACTAAACTGTTTAAGATAATCTAAATAGATAGATCTCATTATTGATATACAATTGATGATCTACTTTAGAAGAAAAGTTATCTTTTGATCCCCAAAACAGACTAATATTCATTGATTATTATTCCACAGTTAACAACTTGTTGGTGTAATTAGTAAATCAACAAGAATTCACATCTTTTAGGTTGTTTTTTTTTCTTTTTAGGCCTTAGTAGAAGTAAAACCAAGTCCTGATTTACGTATTATTCAAGTTGGATTAGAAGGACGTGTATCAGCATATGCACCAGAAGTATCTATAAATAAAGCTGTCCAATCATTAGCTTATTTAGAAGCTGGTACTTCTCGTTATATTTATATGCCAGTTTCGCCGAAACTACCTGGGAATACTTCATTTACAATATGTGCATATAGTTTTATCGGTTCCAATTGTGAAACACATACAATATATGTTCGTGTAAGTTTAAATTGAATTATTGTTATAATGGAGTGATTTCGTATGTTGTTTGTAAAGCAAATAAGTTCATGTTAAGTATTATTAATTTTGGAAGCTAGAAATTATATCAGTTTTGTGTAAATCCACAGTGAACTGTGTCTATCAAGAAAATTTGTTTTCTATTAACTTGATCTAAACTTAGTATTTCCGTCCAAATTAGACATTCATCAAAGCAAGCTTACTTAGATGATACCTTCGGAATATTCCAGTTTTCTAGTTAAATATAAATTATGCTTATTGGACATAATAAAGTTCAACCACAAAAATCTTCAGAAAAAAAACGATGGTAACTCCACAAATAATGTTGATATCCTTCCGGTTGTGACTTATCAAGTTCTACAGATATGGATTAAAATTACTTCAGAAAATGAGTTTTTAAACAAACTTAGAAAGAACAGATCCAGGTGGCCTTCACATTACCTTAATTTATTTCTAGTTTCATAAGACTTGTGACAACCATTTCCATAAGCCTTTCGTATATGCTAAGAATATAATTCAGCCTATTATTTTTAACAGTTGAATTCACAAGTCAATTTAAGCTAGACCACTATTGGAAACCTTGAAGCACTGGACGGCCGTTTCGTCCTAGTATGGGACTCCTCAGCAGTGCGCATCCATGGTCTCATACGCGGGGCTCGAACCCGGGACCTTTGCTCTCGCACGTGAACGCTTAACCTCTAGACCACTAAGCCGGCATCCAACAGTGTTGATATCTAACTTCAATCGATCCATGATCGTGCGCAACCCTTCATCTATTGTCTGGGGTGAATAACTGTTTCACATCCGACACGGATTGGACAACATTGGTCATGGCTTATCACTAGAACCCCAGGAAATCCATCTTGAAGCTAGTCACTAGTGAGCACATGATTGTTATCAAAATGGGGATTTGTAGAAATCGTAGTCTTTTAACGGTTGAATTCACAAGGTTAAGCGTTCACGTGCATACCCGATTGTCTTGGGTTCGAGTCTCACCTTCAGGGTCGTGGATTCACACTGCTGAGAAGTCCCATACTAGGAGAAAACGGCCGTCCAGTGCTTCAAGGTTTCCAATAGTGGTCTAGCTTAAATCGATTTGTGAATTCAACTGTTAAAAATAATAGGCTGAATTATATTCTTCGCGTATACGAAAGGTTTATGGAAACAACTAGTCATAGTTTGTTAACATAGTAAACTTGATGAATAGTGGCTATGATAATGAATATCACTTCCAGTATTAGTTCCCTGAAGATTGCGAACTCTTTGATAATGAATACTTCTTATTGATCGTATCCAACTACCTGACAATGTCACTTACATTTATCTTTGTTATTATTATTATTATTAGATGTATTCAATATTAGGCTTTTGTTACATTATAGAATTCTCAGCACAAAGTATCTCAACAAGTTTCCTATTTCTTATTTCTTGATCTATCTTGACGATAAACATTGAGTGATCACCAGTTAGATGTTAGCAATTCAAGAATCAACATCAGAATAATGAACATTCTTTACAATGCACATTGCCAGCTACTATGATGTCTCTGATTGTACTTTTTTTTGTAACTTGTACAGTGAAAGTTCCTAAACTTTCCATAAACGCACTTGAATAGGTTATGTAATTAATCGACATAATGATCTGTTAAAACAAAGAAAAAAAGCAGGCAATTCTTTAAAATATTTAAATGTCTAGAACAAGTAGCTCAAATATTCAGTAAAATTCATGTATCTTCTAGTGAATCAATCAATTAGAATTCCATAGATTAACTTTTTATTCACTTATATGGTTTGTTTTATAAATTAACAATTACAGATGAATGGTGTAACAAATTACTATCATACTGCAAGTTTCTTAGATTTAACAAGTTCCAGTACATTATTTGTAAATAATTTCAAAATTATTGTTCCACAAAAATTTACTATACCAGAAAGACGTCTACATCGTTTTGTACCTGGATCACAAAAAGCTATTCTTAGTGTAGTTGGTAAGTTTACTATCATAATTACTTTTTCATCAATATTCTAATTATTTTTTCATGTCCTGGTTATGTATATTACGTTCATTGATCAAAATTTTAATAGTTAATTAAATGACTTGTACTTATAATATATTGCATAATGAATTAGATTATCATCTGATTTAAATTGTTTTATTGTTCCCATTAGAATCTAATTAAACATATCTAATTTTAGTAGTTGAGATCATGAGTCAATTGAAGCTAGACCACCATGGAAAACCTGGAAGCACTGGACGGCCGTTTCGTCCTGTTGTGGGACTCCTCAGCAGTGCGCATTCACGACCCCACCTCACAGGATTCGAACCCAAGACCTACCAGTCTCGCGCCAGGCGCTTAACCAACTAGACCACTGAGCCGGCATCCAATGGTGCTAATGTCTAACTTCAACTAATCCACGAAATTGAGCGACACATCCAGCTTAGGAATCCCACAATAGGACGAAACGGCCGTCAAGTGCTTCCAGGTTCTCCATGGTGGTCTAGCTTCAATTGTCTCATGATCTCAACTGTTGAAATTACTACAATCTCCACAAAACCCCTTCTGATATCTAATTTTGATTGAAATCATGAATATGGATCATTGTTAGACCATCAGTAAAAACCTGAAAGCACTGAATGGCCGTTTCGTTTGATTTTGTCGTTTTAATTTATTGCTAAAAATTATGTATTCATTGAATTGGTTAATATATAGGTTAATATATATATACTATTACTAATCTATATATCTTTGTAAATGAATTTAACTATTGGATCCATAATGTTGAAGGATTTATTTCTTGGATAAGAATATCAGAGAAGATGAAGAAGAATAAGAAAAAGAAGAGAAAGAACTAAAACTTAAGGATCAATAAAAGAAAAACATGGGAATGTTAATGTCAGTCAATGCGCATACATACATCATAGTTGTGTAGTAAAGTGACCTTTAGGAAGACAGAGAGATTAATGAAAGGTTATCTCTTCTCTTTTAAAACATATTTTATCTATTATGTAAAAAAATCAATGCAAATGACATGGAGTAATATTAATTATCGTATTTATTATACCGTAGTTTATCAGTATTGAAGATAAGAAAATGAAGCAGTGTATATAAATATGACATTTTGTAAATAGATCGATTAACGCACATATTTTTCTAAAGTACTATCTAAAATCAGTAGGCAACTTTCGTCAGGTTTTCGTATTGTTTGGTTGAAGCTTCCCTTTGATGTTCAGGACTGCAATTGATCAGTCAGTCTCTTATTGACATATGTGCATCCTGGACGGATTGCCTCAATATTGCTTTAAGTCACAAACATTATAAGCAAAGATGGATATTGGCTAGCAGTGGAATTCAGGACGCGCGTTTCGTTCTATTCCGAACTAGTCAGCTGGATGTACCTGCATCCTACATTTGATGTTCACTCAGGGACTCGAACCCAGTACAGTTCGCTTGAAACCTCATCGCGTTATCCACTTAACTACTGGGTTCAGATAGCCACTAGCTTGTGCAATGTGGTGAAGTTTTCACTACCTTTTTGTATTGGTTGTTTGAATCTTCCCATTGACGTTCAGGACTGCAATTGATCAGTCTCTTATTGACATATATGCATCCTGTACGGATAGCCTCAATATTGCTTTGACTTACAAGCATTATAAGCACAGATGGAACCAATAAAAGACTAAACGACAATTGGCAGTTGTTTCATCAAAACCTTCAGGTTTTGTATCAGTTATATTGACTGTTGAGTCGGAATTCAATAATAATATCGTTCAGAAGAACAATGAAATTTCCATGACCAAACCATCCAGATCAGAGAACAAAACTCCATCAAAATCATCCACTTGAGCTGCAAAATTCCATCATCTCGATTTACTCTTTCGTTATTTTTTTCTTTAGGTGACTTTATCGGTCCAGCTTTAAGTGAAAAATTTCAATATGCTGATACACAAAATATTTTACGTCTACCTTTTGCAGCAGCAGAGAATATTTTCTTGAATTAGGCTACAATATGAATTTGCTGCTTTATTTACATGGTGCTGGACACTTACCATATTCAGTATTGGAAAATGGATTAATTTATTGTTCTGTTGTATTACAAAAAGGATTTTCATATTTTAATCCGAAAATTGGTGCATTTTCTAATTTTAGAGATCGTTTAGATGAGTAAGTTATATTTATCATAATATATGACTATAATTTATGGACGATCTTTGAGTGACGCTAGAGTGATCTTGAGAATGTTCACCTACCTATTAAGGATAAATGAGGAATTATGATTATGATTTACAGTTGATGGTTAGGTTAAGGAGTTATAGTTTAAGTTTTCACCACAAACTGACATCACCTAAAATGTCAAAACCCTATTCAGTGAAATGGGTGAATGAACTTTGCGCTAAAATCCGAGACCTGTTACCATAAATCTGATTGGTTCATCCATAAATTATAGTCTCGTCATCTATTATTATTATTAGTGGCTTTATTCAATATTATATCTTGGTACAATATAGAATTCTCAGTACAAGGTATTTCAACAAGTTTATTTTACAAAAAGGAAAAAAAAACAAAGACAAAAAGAAATCTGAAAAACTGTACAACTTCCCAAATTATAGACATGACTAGATTAACAACTTGTTCGTCACAGTATATTTACTAGGTAAGGTAATATAGAACTTTTATACTTGCTTGCTTGCATGGATTTCAATGTAATTTCATCTCGTTCAACCAGAAGAAGATATACAAGGAGAAAGATAAGAGTGAAGGGGATGGTTAGTATCTAATAAAATAACACCTGCCAGGAGTTTCCATGACTTTAGATGTCTATCCACAACCATATTAATTATGACCTCGAAAGATTCACCACACACCCTGCTAACTGCCTTCAGCATTCTTCGCAATGCAGCAAAGACTTTTCTCAAAGTTCGGCAAAGAATAATGGAGAACAGTAAAGAATACTAGGTAATAAGCAGGAGTGGACAAATTGTAAGAGTAAATAACAAGTAATCCCAAAAGTATGCAATCTCTTTATGTAGTAAGTCAGACAGAAAACCTTCTTCGATAACAATAAAACGTGAGAAGACTAAGAGAGATCAGAGGAAAAGGTAACACCAAGATAATTGACCTCCGACACTGTTTATCAAAGAGTCTTCAATGGCACAAGCATTATGGGATCTCAAAGTGGTGTTTAGATACCGTTCATGTCTCATGCTAAAGTTAACAGCTTGACATTTAGACGGATTACGGATGAGACCGTTACCAACAGACCAACATTCATTACGAAACAAAAACTCATTCATTTCTATGGGATGTAAAGATGTAGAGATAGGCATACATACAGTGAGATCATCCTCATATTTCACAAAAGTGTTTACTGTGAAAGATGAACTTAATTCATTCACCAAGCTAGAACATTTTTAACTAGTCTTCCAATTAACTTAGTACAGTTAACTGAGAACAATGATACACTTGAATTGTTTGGGATATAATTGGCATATTTCTTTGTTTTCATCTCATATGAATAAGTTCAATCTCAGTTTATATTTCAATAAATGTGTAGGTGTAGTATTTCATCACTTAATATACTCTAGTTATTATTAGACTAATGATTTTCCATGTCAGTTATTTTCATAAACTCTATCTTGTTTTAATAGTATATGAAGAAAATCAGACGTTTTTTCCCTCTCTCTCTCTCTCTCTCTCTCTCTCTCTCTCTCTCTCTCTCTCTCTGAAAAGTTAAATTGAAATCACTATACGTAGTCATTCCCTAATGTTTCTTATTAGGGTGCATTCAACGTATGCACATCCATTCAACTATTCAATAAATATTAATCAATCATTTTTTTAAAAGATTTGATTGGTCAGTACAATTTACACGTTTATAAAGCCATAGAAACTATTTGGTATCATTGTTACTATGATAATTACAATTAATCATATAATTGTTAGAAAGATATCTTGTTGCCTATTTTGTAGAGAAGATTTATCTAAATCAAAATGTAAGCTAGAAAAACGATGGATCACAAAATAGTGACAATCAAATCATTGAAAATACAAAAAATTTAATGTGCTTCAGTCGATGGGAAATACTTAATTACTAACGTCTTTTTTTCAACTAGGCATCCAATTAAAAAAGCAAGCAAAATGAGGGAACTGTGTGGTTTGATTATGAAATTCATAGAATTACTACAAGACCATTGAAATCATGAATCGATTCAAGTTAGATCAACATTGAAAACACTAGAAGCTTGTTTCGTCTTAGTATGAGACTTCTTAGCAATGTGCACCTGCAACTGTGCATGCGGGAATCGAACTTACTGAATGCTTGCTGACAATGAGACCATCATTTATATTTGATATTAACTAGATAAAAACTCAGTTCTACAAAGAAACTGACTTATCATCAAATATCTTTCTAAAAACTGTTATCTAAAATCTTGAAAGGTGAATTTTCGACATCGAAAAATTCATCTTCAAAACAAACATCTAAAATAGTTCCAAATGATCAATAATTAAATCCACAGTAAATACACATCCCCACTGAGTTACTAAGGGACGATTGCTCGTTCTTAAAAAAGTCATCTTTTGCGTAACATGATAAGTTTTGGTTTTCCATGTAAACTTACTCCCAAATTAGCCATTATTCTTATGTTAAGTTGACAAAAACTATCTGAAACTAAAGTAAATCTTTTTGAATTAGTACAGTGATAGAACTGTTATCCAATGTTTATTATTTCAGAATTTCTCAACTTATTACTAACAAACAGTATACCACAAACATTTACTTACTTAAGCTTGTTACTCCTCATGGAGGAGCATAGGCCGCCCATATACCACAAATGACATTTTTAAATTAAAGAGAAGAGTTCCTATGGTAAACTTTACTGTTTGACTCAGCTACGAATTGTATACACAACATTTAATCAACAAAAATTAACTGAAAACTATGTACAAATTTCTATTTGCTATGTAACCACAGGTATTTCATGTTTCTATTTACAAATGACCTAGATAGAGTTTTAGACAAATAACATGTTTAAACCATTAGAAGATAACAGCATTAGTTTGAACTACAGTCTAGACATTTTTCCCAATATTTTTTTAAATATCTAAACAACATTTTTTAAGCAAAGATAGATAGTGGCTATCAGTGGAATCGATTCGATAGGTCCTGGGTTCGAATCTCGCGGAACGGGATCGTGGATGCACACTGTTGAGGAGTCCCATACTAGGACGAAACGGCCGTCCAGTGCTTCAAGTTTTCCAATGGTGGTCTAGCTTAAATCGATTCGTGAATTTAACTATTAAAATTACTAAAATCTCAACAAAATCCCCTTCCGATATAAACTCTTAAGTTTTTGGCTTAAAAAAGTCGTGAGTACATGTTTACATTTGGTTTAATGACATAATACTTTCTGATTAACATGCCTAATTGATTAGTTGAATAATAAACCATAAACTATCTATAAACTATAAACAACAATTTCATCACACCTAAAATGAAATAAAACAATGGAAAATGTTCAAGTGACTATAAACTATATATCACAACCACTGTGACATTAGATACCCTATTTTAACAGTAATTAACAAACTATTGTATAATAATGTTATGGAGTTTATTACAGTAAGATTAACTTATGCAACAATCTTCAATCCATTGGATATCGTCATAAAAGAAAATGACAATAACAATACTTTCAGTGTGTGGTCTTGCAAATCATTGAATTTCATCAAATTTGAAAACCAATGTAAGTTAGATCAACATTGAAGACCTAGAAGCAATGGACGGCTGTTTCTTTCTATTATGAGACCCCTCGGCAGAACCCATGTACAAATCCACACGTCGTTTATGCGGTGTTAATGTCTAACCTCAGTGATTCAGTAGTCTGGAGGTTAAGTGTTCGCGAGAGAGATCGAAGATCTTGATTTGAATAAATGCGTCTAGGGGCTGTTGATGCTTATTGCTGAATAGTCCCATATTGAAACACACGTCAATGTTGGTCTAACTTGGATCGGTACATGGTTTCAGCGAAATAATGGTATTAATTATCTTGCGAGTTTCAGAGGAAGATATTAACTAACTCATTCTTACTTTAGGTAAGATCAGTCTATTTAATGTACTTGGGATTCATTAACCAACTATAGCTCCTTGCTTAAAATAATCAGGAAAATTTGCACCTCAAGTGGGATATTTTAGTTGATATTTTGTTCTCTTAGTTGGTTGGACGAGACTATAATTTATGGACGAACCAATCAGGTATAAGATAACAGCTCTCGGATTTTGGTGCAGAATTCACTCATTTATTCGGATAAATAGAGTTTTGGTATTGTAGCTGATATTAGTCCGTGATGAATACCCTAAATCTAATTTTTAACCTTAACCATCATCTGTAAATTATAATTCCAGTTGCTCACATTGGTTTATAACCCTTATTTAGTCCTAGTTATTAGGTGGGCACTCTCAAAGTCACTTTAGCGTCACTCAAATATCGTCCATAATTTCTAGTTTCATCGTTGGTTGTGGTTTCATTACAAAGTTTTCGTTGTCGTTCTAAACTACATTGTCAGCGTTTGCTTCACGTAAAATTCGATGAAAAATTTTCATTTTCACCGTTTTGACAAATGTTATTTATTATATTTTTGAGCCGATTTTTCTTGTCTTAGTGCTAAAATCGAAGCATTGGAATCAGAAATTTAAACTCATAACACGGTAGTTAAAATTCAAAGTCTTTAACAAAAAACCCACTACTTCTTTATTTTGCTACACGATTTCACTAAACAATGCACTACAGTAATTTCTTTTTCTGTCATAAATAAACAAGCAACACAATTAATTTACTCGATAATTTAAGTATTGTAAAAAGATTGGATAAGACTATGACTTATGAACAACCTTAGAACGAAGCTAAAGTGACCTTGAGGAAGTTTACTTACTTACTGGGATCAAACTAGAGTTATCAATTAGTGTAATGAATTAGGATTAGAATTTAGAGTTACAATTTTCATCAAGAACTTACGTATAAATACAATCTGTTAACTTAACACTTTTCGTTTAACACCACATGTCTCTTACACACTAATATATATACCTACTTTAAACATAGTTAACGTTGATTGAATGACTGATTAAGTATACAGTAAACCAGAGAACCATGTACTTATTTATATTCGATAATTTTGATGTTTGATTATATTTATTTGAAAAAGCTTGGATCAGGTTGCCAGATGAAACGTTGAATTTACTTCAAATTCTTTCACTGAAATTTTACAACTACAACATCGTTCCTCTTTAATATCTCACATTAACTCAGCGCCCAAATACTGTGAAACTATTCGTTCAAATTTAGACGAAAGTTCTGATTGAACTAATATCGAATTTAAATGCGAAAAATTCTATTCAACCAATATAGATAAATGAATTTCACGCTAAAATTTAATACTTTCTATCTTTACTTTAATTTGTCCATCCATAATTTATAGTCTTGTCAAAAAACAAACTTGAAGTTTTAGATGTATGTACATGTTAGTTACCATAGGTTTTTACTAATATAATGTTACCGGATTAGTAATAGCTTTAAAGTGGAACACTTGGTCTCTTTTTTTCCCATCTTTGTCATTTGTCATACAAGATTTTGTTATTTCAGGGAGAAAAATTCAATACAATAGTTCAGTTCAGTTCAGTTTATCTTTCATTTTTCTTTCTTTCTCTTTTTTTTCTTCTTTAAATCAATATTTAGTGGGTAAGACTAACTTTCTTTCACATGTTACAAGTATACATATATGTATTTATTGATTTGTAAATGCCGGTACAAATTAATGTCTAGTTAAATATTTTCAATTGTTCAAGGTCATTATTATTACCTGTTACAAAACTGATGAACTTAGATGATTGTTTTATGAACCATTTTTCACCTCGGTTCACAGGTTAAGACTATTCATATTGCTGATGACGAGTATAGTATTATATTAGGACAAAGGGATGAATCTTTTAAACTCATCCCAGAGTAGTAGAGGTAGTAACAGAATTAGTGTTATTAGAAAGGATTAGGTATCGAAGATATCATTTAAAAAGAAAATATAAATTAACGAAATAAAAATATTATTGGTTTTTCAGAAACTTATGATGTAAGATAAGATAAATAACAAATGTACCTACGCTATCGCAAACCATTTCATTTAAAATATCTAATCATTGATTACGATAATCCCAACAAGGACTCTACACTTACATGGCTCAGATCAATTGTCAGTAACTTCATAGGTTGCTATCATGCTTTAGTTTGGCTGCCCCTAGCTTTCTTCCAGCCTACTTCTACACTGGACAATATCGGCCATCAAAGTAGGTGGTGGTTGTACATATATAACACATTTACTATCTGATTAATCGATCAATCAATCATCGGAAAAAGCCGAAGACATTTGATCCGATTATCTTTTGCAAGAACATATCAGAAGTTTGACATGAAGCTTCCCGATTGAACAAATGCTAAAAGCCACTGTAGCAATTATGTTCCCGATTTATTTAACGTTAAGGATAAACGTAGCTGATGTTTATGACAATTCTGACATTTTATTTATCTACACAATATTTCATTAAGATATGGTAAAAGTGCCCGTTTATAAGTTTATCTTCCTTCTTTCATGTCTACCGTTACACAAATTTATCTATACGGATATTTGTGATACTTTCAAGGTTGAATTCATGAGTCGATCTAAGCTAGATCACCAATGGAAACCTGTAAGCACTAAATGGCCATTTCGCCCTAGTATTAGAACTCCTCAACAGTGCACGAGACGGAAAGTCCTAGATTCGAGTAGTGCATGAGGGATCGTAAATGCGCACTGCTGATAAGTCACATACTAGGACGAGACAGCCGTTCAATGTTTCCAAGTTTTCAATAGTGTTCTTCTAACTAAAATCAGTCCATAATGTAAATTATTTAAAAAATTCAGAAATTTCCATAAATTTAATACTAAAAAAAAATAAATTTGCTTCCTCTTTTTTTCTTTCTTTCATCTCTAGAACTGATCCACTAGTTACAGCCATTGCATTATGGAGTTTACTATTAACCAGGCAAACTCAATGGAATCGTTTAATTTACGTAGATGATAATACATTTGTTAGTATTATTAATTATTTAAAACAAACACAACAATTCAGTTCATATGATAATGATATAAATAATCAAACAATAGTTGATATTCGATTATCTGGTAGTTGGAATATTTCTAATGTTATAGATAGACGATTTTCTCCTATAATTAATAAAACTAAATGGCCTGATTTAATTGATCAAGAATGTCATCGTCGAATACCATCAACAGCTATGGTTATTATTGCATTACGTTCAACTGAACGTACTTTACCTAGTGGAGTTGGTGCAGATAAAGCTGAAAGAATTGTTTCTGAAGCTGTTAAATTTCTTAGTCGACATATATTAAATGTTGATGATTTATTTTCACAAATGATTGGTACATATGCTTTGAAAGTTGCTGTGGATGCAACATCACAACATAAAATATCACAGTAAGTATTAGATACTTTTCTGTTTAGAAACTTTTATTGTATGCGATCAGTATCATTTTTTTTTAAAATTGATATGTATATTGTAATGTTTCACTAGATGTCAAGTTTTATCTGAAGAATATCCAGTGACTCTGGTCTTTTGTGCAATTCACTCATATAAGTAGAGATGGGTGGTGGCTAATAGTGAAGTCCAGGACGCGCGTTCCATCTCACTTGCGACTCTTCAGCTGGATGTACCTGCATCCCAGAGTTAATGTTCACCTCCGGACTCGAACCCATTACCGTTCGCTTCAAACGTTATTGCGTTATCCACTCAGATGCTTGTACAATGGGTTGAATTCTTATTTTGATTCATATGTGTATTGATTTTTTGAATCTTCCCATTGACTGCAATTGATCAGTCTCTTATCGACATATGTGCTTTCTGCATGAATTGCCTCGATATAGCCTTCAGTCACAAGCATTATAAGCTGAGATGATGATGATGATGGCTAGCAGTGGAATCCAGGACATGCGTCTAACTTGTCAGCTGGATGTAACTGCATTCCAGAGTTGCTTGTGATTGAAGGCAATACCGAGACAATCCGCACATCATCCACATATACTAATAAGAGAATGATCAATTTCAGTCCTAAACATCAATGAGGAAGATTCAGGCAACCAATACAAAAAGGAATTATTATTATCGAAGTACGTTTATTGTTTTTTTTCCAGTGCATTGAAACGAATTGAAGCATTTCGTCAAAAAGGTGATTATGTCTACTATGCTAATTATAGAATACCTCCACCAAAATGGGAATTAGATCAAGCTGGTAGACGTATTGAAAATCCTCGTTTAGAAATGCCTAATGATGGTTATGGTGTTTTATGTTCAAGTATTTATTTCTTGTTAAAACATGAATTAGGTGAATGGTCATTTCGTTCATCTGAGGCATTAGATATGGTTCATTGGTTAGCTAGTGAACGAAATCATGTCGCTGGATTTGCAAGTACTTTTGTAAGTTAAAATTTAAAGAGGGTTTTTATTAAATTTTATTGAAATTGAATAATCTGTCAATTTGTTAGGATCTTCTATAACCTATGTATTCCGGTATATGTGTTTTGACCATCAATTTTTCTTGGAGTTGTAGGTTGACTTTTTGATAATGAATACCTTATCGAGTGATAGACAGAGCCATGTAGATAGGTTTAGAATACCTATTTGGGGTCTGCGCGACCAATGGTTAACAACTTCAGATGATATGATTCGGAATCCTTCGCGATGGCGCATGTGCGATTACTCTATATCTTTTCTTTAGTTGTTGAATCTCGAAATTCCCTTATATCTTTTTTGCTTTTTTTTACTAGTCTTTTATACTACTTGTAGTACTGATACTGTTTCTACCTCTACTACTCTAAAATTTGTCTTGATAATTTTTATCTTAATGTGCTAGTGTAGTGTGGCAACTTAAGCTGATGCACATATATGTCAGGTTCTCTGTTGAATAAAACTGACTGACTTCAATAGAAAAAAAATAATTTTAACTCTTTCTACCAGTCCTCTTCAACAATTCGAAATTAGTTTTTGTGAAACTTATGTCTTTCGCTTACATGACTTAAAAACAGAATGTCGTTAGTTAGTTCGCTTCAAATACCTCTTCTAACTTACTTTTCCTATCAGGCTCAAGGTGGTGAGACTATAGTTTATGGATGAACCAATCAGGTATAAGATAACAGCTCTCGGATTTTGGCGCGAAATTCACTCATTCATTCGGATAAATAGAGTTTTGGCATTATAGCTGATGTCAGTTCGTGATGAATACCTTAAATCTAATTCCTAACCTTAACCATCATTTGTAAATTATAATTCCAATTGCTCACACTGATTTATAACCCTTATTTGGTCATGGTTATTAGATGGACACTCTGAAGGTCAGTCTGGCGTCTCTCGAATGTCGTCCATAAATTATAGTCTCACCCTCAAGGTCTACCAGTCTCATTGTGATCAAAAGATCACTGACTTCTCTCTAAATAGAACTTAAAATTGATCGTTTTCTAATATTTTTATGATCATGACTTATATTTGCGCGTGTCAAACTTAATTGATCCATTAGAACCAATTGGGATCTGTCCAATATTCAATTCGTAACTTGACAATAAATCAGCTATCATTCTTGAAAAGTATGCATCATGAAATAATTTATTGTACAATGGATAATATATGCCTTTATTCCATTAGAAAAATGTCCTCTTTCATACCATCTATGTACCATTATGTGAGAATATATTCTAAGATTTTTACATTGTTAACAACTGTTTCTTACATTAAGTTAAAGTATTTTAATACAATTACTATAGTCATTCAGTTTTTTTTTAAGTTCCAACTTTATGACTTAACAGAAACATATGGGATTAAACTGAAATTATGAAAGATTTTAATGTTTAGATTGTAGAAATATGTAAGTAAATTTAATTTCTAGAGGTAATTCTCGGAATTCGGGTAAGAAACCGTAACCAGTGAAGTTCAAACGTGTTGAGTGTGAGGCATTTACCCACCGAAGACAATGAAAGATTGTTGCGCAATATCGTGGATTGGTTAAAATTAAACATTAACATCGTTGGATCGCGGCTCAACGGTCTAGAGGTTAAGTGTTCACACACGAAACCGAAGGTACTAGATCCAAATTCTGCATGCGCGATCGTGGATGCGCACTGCTCAGGAGTTTCGTACTAGGACGAAACGGCCGTCCAGTAATTTCAGGTTTCCAATGGTAGTCTAACTGATCAATTCATGATTTCAATTAAAACTCAACAATTCCCACAATCTTATAATGAAAATTACTTTCATCTAAAGACGAATTCAATATTGAAATTTATCGGTATTAAAGAATAGTAAATAGAGCTGAACTTTTCTTTTAATGATCAGTATATATTTTCAGTTTGGAACCATTCAGTAGAATACCTTAAAGTAAGAAGTCATAATTACTGGATTTTATTGGTATTTGTATCTGTAACATTAGGGAAACTTACTATGGTTTTAATATTTGAATGTACATACCCCATTTACCACATCTATTCATGTAACGAATGTTTTCTTCTCAAATCAACAGCAGTTCTTTTCCTTGTTGTATCCCATTCTATATCTCTGTTGCCATCAGCTTATTGATTTGTAAATGTTATATAATCAGTGATCAAAATAATCCACTACTTACCGGTACTTTCCAAAAGAACTCAGTTATAACTAGATTAGATCACTGGCTTAGAAGAAATTTGGTTTAAATTTAAAAAAGCATGAGTTTTACAAATGCAAGAACAATTCAACTACTTAATTCAGACTTTATTCAAATATTTAAAAATAAACGTAAAATTTTATTGGTCTCATATGGTTGTGAACGAAGTCTCTGCGGGAAAAGTACTTAATGATTTGGTAAACTATGAAAATTATACATTAAATACATCATTTACACATCTCCCATCAGTTTTTCTGTACCTGCTCTATTATTCCTCTAATTCTGTTGGTATTTTTATTCTATTTCGATGTTTCTTCTGTTCTCTTCAATTCAGTTTACTGATGTCAAGTATTCCACTCCTGAGTTGGGATACATACTACTTATATCTGTTAGTATAAGTAGCATACACCACAATATTATCTGTGTTAATGTTTAAAAACTATTTCTCATTTGATAGGCTTTAAATTAATTTAATCTACTGAATTTTATTTTCTTTCTGTCGAACAGGACTCACTTTTCGCAATGCATGCATTAAGAAAATTTGCATTGGCTGATACGAATCGTGCTTTATATCGAATGGCTATAGATGAGAAAATTTCTTCAATGAGTACATGGACAAATCGTATTTATATAGATACTCACAATTATTCAACTGTTACGCATACAACGGTAATAATGTTGTTTTGTTTTTCTCATTTAAAGTTTAGTTTGATTTAAAACAGTTGATCCTTTTTGATTAAAAATTGAAATAATACAATTGTGGTGCGTGCTACTTATACTGACAGATATAAGTAGTACGTAGCACCAATTGGAAGTGCAACACTTGACAGCACAAGATTACAATAAAGAGAATGGGAAGGTATTCTGAGAGCATCAATAAATTGGTCCTCCCCACCAAGTTTTCATTCACTCAAGAATAGAACATACTCGTAAGTTACTAGTATTTAACACAGATGTCTTAGAAATATAGCTCACATCTGCTGGGATCACCGCGTAAGTAATAGTGAGGTTAAACACAGGATGTTAGGAAACGATGGTAAATCAGTTGATGAAGTTGTAAGTCTTTATCGACTGAGATGGTTGGGCCACGTGTTACGTATGCCTGAACACCATTTATCAGGACGCGCAATGCTGACACTAGTGTTAGAGATGGATGGAAGAAAGTCAGGGGCGGCATCAGTGCTTGAAGTCGCTAACTTTCAGTTTTAGCCATGTTAGTAGGTGCAGACTACTTGGTTGGGTTCCCCACGACTATCTTATCCAATGGTTGGAGACTGTGGGTGACATGGCTCGGAATCGATCATAATGGCGTAGGTGTGTACACTTTATACCTTTCTAATTCTTTCTTCCTGTATTATGTCCTTATACACAACCTTTCTTTCATATATTACCACCATTGAAGTGACTACTTCTATGAGTTTGGTGTTCTTCATCTTGTTGTGCTAATGAGGTATTGCAACTTGAAGGGATGCATATATGTGCCTGGTCTTACGTTGTAGCTGACTGACTAACTGAAGACCTATTGTTGTCTTAGAGAGTTTGAAGCAAGCTGACGAAGACAATCGTGGAGGAAATACAGTTGTTTTTGAGTAGAAGCCAAGTCAAGGCGCAAAATGTCATCGATTTTCTTAGGTTTAAATACTCTTGATAAACTTTGAACTGTTGCCGAAAAGGAATCCTTTATAGTATGTCTTCATTGTATTATGATGGATGCAGAACTTGAAACTTTTCAATTATCCTATTACCAATATTATTGTTTAACAATTACAATTTAGTACAGTACTACTGATAGAGGGCAAAATTCAATAAGAGGTTTTTTTGTAGTCTTCAATTTTAATCCTTAATTATTTTTTTCCGTTCTTTTATAAATCATGTTATTCTAACTGGATATTTTACTTTTGAATAATATTTTGAATTTGTAATTGTATATTCGGTGAGTTGATCACTGATTCTACCTAGAAAAATATATTCTGTCAGGATTTAAGTGTTGTTTGGCTATTGTGACACTTCAGGAGGAAGCCAAAAGAGGAAGTTCGGTATTTAAAGTCGACGTCGAAGGAATAATAGGAATTGAAGAGGGAAGTTGATTATGAATACAGTGGTCTTGAGTGCTGTTGGCAGTATGAGGGCGGTTATCACTTCACGGTTGCCCACACCGTGAAAGAGTTCTTCTGGAGGTACCTGAAAAGGAAATTGGGTTACAGGTGGCCTTAGTGACTTGAGAGCATGACCGCAATGCCCAAGGGGAAACTGCTTGAGGTTGGTCACACACGACCCTTTTGTGGGTAATTTTCGTGTTAGCTCCGTACTTGTTGAGACCTTACTGCCGGAGACGGATATCCGTGGGATAAGGAGATGTGTGCATTTTTAGGGTCGACTTTGTATAACCCCACCACTCCTTGTGGGGAGGCAACACCGCTGTTATGTTGGTTGTCTGAAGGAAACACCTTACTGTCGTCACGCCTCTATACAGTCAGCAGTACGACTTCGCCCTGAGACCTTGGGTTTGCTGCTTTTAGTCTTACCACTCTTTAACCGACCTGTTTGGCATGGTAGAACCTTGAAGAACGATTGTTCCAACCAGTATAGCCTTATCGGTTCACTACGATAGTCAAGCCCGACCACCACGTCAAGGTGATGTTGATTACATGAAGAAATTACTCGTTTGACAATATCAGTAATTTTATTAATCTCACTAGTCAATTATATTAATGCGAAAAAAAAAGTTTTTTTGTTCAATGATCTGAAAACATCCGCCGGTCATAAATATAAAAAATTGAAGAAATTTGAACAAAACAGATATTCAATCCTTCTTTAGAATTTGTATTTCCTTTTTCAGTAGTATCATTGTTCCGTTTGTTTCTTTTTTTTTGTTTTTTTTTGTTGTTGTACATCAGTTTCCATCAGATAATGTATGGGGTGATATTACAATGAAATTAGAAGGTACTGGACGTGTTCTATTACAATTAGATGCAGAAGTCAATGTAGAATATAAAGAAATGCAAAAAATGCCTAAAAATCCATTAGATACAGAACAAGTATATAGAAGTTTTGAAATTGAATGTACACCTGGTTTTTTAAGTCGTAATAATTCTATTATGATTATGACTGCATGTGGAAGATGGGTTGGAACTACGGTAAATTTAATAAACCTTCATATTATTTTCATATTATTAATTGGAGGTTGGGGTATTATTCTTTAACGCTGAATCTATTTTCCAGTCTCTTATAAGTGGACGGTGATTGTCTATTCATTAGATTAAATGTAGTAAGAATATATGTATGACATAGAAAAATAAGTAATCTATATTTAAAGATTGTTAGATGGAAAATGATTATCATTTTTTTTAAATATATTCGATTATTTGTGACTAGTATTTGAAGTTATTAGTAATTGAAATGGAAATACTTGCTAAGGAACTCTCCTGGTAGCCTACTTGAATATGTGGACTACTTGTTCCTGACATCTAGATATTTCAATAAGTTATCTACTTTTTGCTTGTTTTAACACATCATTATATCTATTAATTACATAACCTATTCAGGCGTGTCTATGAAAATTTTACAACTTTTCATTGTACAAGTTACAAAAAAATTACAATCAGAAAGATCGTAGTGGCTGAAAATAGACATCAAAAAGAATATGCATTATTCAGATGTCGATTCTTGAATTGTTAACATCTAACTAGCGGGCCACTCAGTGTTTATCGTCAGAATCGATCAAGAAATAAGAAATGGGAAACTTGTTGAGATACTTTGTGCTTAGAATTCTATATTGTATCAAAAATATAATATTGAATAAAGCCATTATTAATAGTAATAAACACAAATTAATAATTCAATATTTGACGATAATAAATAAATTATAACTTAGGAGTGATTATAGAATTCATGCTAATTTATTACAGGCATAATTAATTTGACACAGAAAACAACATTCAGTCAGTAACAACGTAGAACTTTGTACGTACGTACATCAGTTCGAGTTGCCATACCACATTAGCACAGAGATGCAATTTTCTATTTAAATCCCATAATGGTAGAGATAGAAAACGTATAGTCAATAATCGGAAACATTAGTGCTTGAAGATGTTAGTCAAGGAGTATGATCCAGTGAAATAAGTTTGGAAAGAGGAAAAAAGGGGAATGAACAATTCAGAGGATTAGAATTTGGGAGAACACAAAGAGTGGATGCACCTGCGCCATTGCAAATGATTTTGAGCCATGTCATTCAAGGTCTTGTAGCGTGGTGTCGAGTTGAGGTTAACTATGAACACCGCTACCAAGAAACACGTGCCAAGTAAATCAGAAGGCGAAGGTTTAAACGTAACCAAATAAATCCATAAAATCCCCGAGAAGCCAAATATCAGAAGACAGTTAATGGACCAAATCGAGATATATTCGCTGGCGATCTCGTGGCATCGAAAGGATACCGAGATCGTGCCAGGATACAAGCTTGGTTACAGAACGTAACCGAATTCGCACGAAGTCACAATCAAAAGTGTAAGAATCAGAATGGAAGCACAATATAGCTGTCATTAGCACAGTCAAACAAAAGCACATTAAAACAAACACTGGTACAGTTAGTTATGATAATAATTGTTTTTATTAAACCAGTCGTGTTCTCGTGATAAATGTGAGTCACTACAGTCTCAACCGTCGGTTGCTATCGTCTCGCGGATCCCAACCAGATAGTCTACACCTACCAACATCGCTCAATATACTTGTCAGTGACTTCATGGATTTGTGCCGTGTTTTGGTCTGACCACCCCTAGCTGTCTTCCAGCCTACTCCTATACCATTGAGCATCGCACATCGAGGCATTCGGTGGTTGGGCATACGTAACACGTATCCCAGCCATCTCAACTGATGAAGTTTCACTACTTCATCAATTGATTTGCCATCCTTACCTAGTACCCGTTTCCTAACAACTGCATTACTTACTCAATGGTCTCATGATATACGAGCAATGCTTCGAAGACACGTATGATCGAATACTAGTAGCCTACGAATATCCTCTACTCTTACTGGCCATGTTTCATTGCTGCGCAGTAAACCCGTCCTTTGGTAGACCGCACTAACCCAGAAAACAACATTACATTTAAAGGATAGAGATATGAGGTTAAATTATTGGAAATGATGTGGTTTGTAAATTGTTTAGAAATAACATCATAAACATTAGTTCATAGTATGGGGAGGCTATGATATTCTGTTAATATATAATTAGTATATCGATAATTATTTCCACTCATATTACACAGTAATTGTAGTCATCTACAGCTACGAGGAGTGGATGAACACATGCTTTTTATAATAAAATACGTGAATCATTTTTATAGAGGTTACGGAGTATACAGCGCAGAAGGCGTTGAGACTTGTAAGCTCGTTTTAAGACCTGTTCTGAGAAGGACAAATTATGTGAATACCTGATTCCCAAATCCACCATTTTATGAAATCTAGATAACACCCTATCATTTATTCTGAAATCTGTGTTGAGGAAAAAACTACCCAAGTAATGCCATACAAATTTAGTAGTGCCAAGTTTCAAACTCCATCTTGAGAAAAACTGGGTGACCTAATTGAGCCACATACTGATACAGTCTCCCATATGGTTCAGCTCAGGAAAAAGAATAAACCACTTAAATATCATCCGCACACAAATCAGACATTGCCAACTACATGTTATCGTTTGTTTAAGCTTTAAATTGCAAAGATCCTAGTACACTAACTTATATTACCCCACTTGTGACCGGAATGGATGCTGGTAAGGAGGAGTTTATTTTAGCTATTTGATATCAGTGAATGAGAAAAAAATCAAGACAAGTAACCAGGTTTGCTTATACCTTAAATAAATACAAGCTCGTTCCAAAGAAATTAAACGTCATTTTTCTGTTCGGTTGGCTAGTTTTGCTAGAATTAAAGAGAATTTATCTCTCCTTGAATATAAAACAGTGACCAAGATTTTACAAAATACGAGGATAAAGTTTTGATTAAAACAATCCTCACCACACATTTGCTCTTACTCTCTTCAAAGACGATAAAGGAAACTTCATGCACAAGCTTCAAGATGTACATAGTTCTTGACATTATGTAATCTCAATGTATCTGACTCAGTCCTTCGTGTAGTCATGTATAATTTTAGCATACTGACTTTGTTCTTTATTAGTCTAAGACTTTGAAAAATAGAAAACCATTCAGTAGCATTGTTTACCGTGAGTTTTTGTATGATCTTAAAAAGATTCTATGTAGTTGTCAAACAGATTCAAATTAATTTCTTTTAAAAATTTATTTTATATTAAACTTTTGTATTTCATCTAAAGGGTATTGAACCATTACCTCAAAGTGGGATGGCTGTATTCGAAATTGGACTACCAACAGGTTTCATAGTTTTAAATGATGATCTAAGACGATATGTAAATAGTCTTATGGTTCCAAATCTACGCTATGCACGTGCCAATTCTAGATATGTACATTTCTTTTTCGATACAGTAAGTAATGAATTCATAAACTAGAAGTTAATTAAAACTTTTGGTATGACTATAATTTATGGATGATCTTTTAGTGACGCTAAAGTGATTTTGAAAACGTTCACCTACCTACTAAGGATAAATTAGGGTTATAAAGCAGTGTGAAGAAAAAGGATTATAATTTACAATTGGTGGTTAGGGTAAGGAATTAGAATTATGGTTTACAGTTGATGATCAGGGTTAGGAATCAGATTTAGAGTTTTCATCACGAACTGACATCAGCTACAATGCCAAAACTCTATTTAGCCAAATGGGTGAACAAGTTTCTAGCCAAAATCCAAGACCTGTTATCCTAAATCTGACTGGTTCATCCGTAAATTATAGTTTCGCCAAATTTTCTTGTTCAATAGAATCCTTAGTAATGGAAGTTTTAAATTAATTTATTTGATTATTGAATACTTGTAGCTGAAATTAAATGATACAAATACTGTTTTCCCGCCTCACTAACTATTCTAAAGAATATGTATATGACAGACTTGGAAATGATTATTCATTTCTATATTCATGTTGATAATAACTTTTCATGAAATTTATTTTAATGGTTATTAATAACTTAATACATTTAGAAAAGCCTATAACTTTGTGTATGATGTTATGCAATTTAAGAGCAGTTGGTGGTTTTATGTATCTGATTATCAGTAATATTATTTGATAAACCAGTTACTTTATTCATTTTTGTATTGTTGTTTGTTTGAATCTTCCGATTGATGTTTAGGACTGCAATTGATTAGTCTCTTATTGGGATATTTATATCCTGTGCGGATTGCCTCGGTATAACCTTAAGTCACATGCATTCCAAGCAGAGGTAGACTATGGCTAGTAGTGGAATCCAGGACGCGTATTTCGTCCTATTTGGGCTCTTCAACTGGATGTACCTTCATCCCAGATTTGATGTTCACATATGCCACATATTTACATATGCTCAATTGCAGTCTTAAACATCAATAGGAAGACCCAAACAAACAATACAATATGAATTTAAACTTCACCTCATTGTACAAGCTAGTGGCTATCTGGACCCAGTAGCTACGTGGATGACGCGATGGTATTCGAAGTGAACAGTACTGGGTTTGAGTCCCTCAGTGAACGTCAACTTTGGGATGCAGGCACATCAAGCTGACTAGTTCAGAATAGAACGAAACGCACGTCCTGAATTCCACTGCTAGCCATTATCCAGTTAATTCATCAAGTGGAACTGTTTAAGAATATGAGATACTTTTAATAAATAAATCTGATGGTAAGAAGTTGAATTCATCGTTGTTTATTGTGTATAGTATTTCTTGTATTACTGTAATATTTAATTAATTTCATGTGAAGATGAAGATTTAATATGATATGAATAGTCTAGTAATATTTGTTAAAAAGAAAATTAAAATATACTAAAAGTAATAAAATTTACAAAGATCTTGACATTTAAACTCTATAGTCTTCTAGATGTTCATGAAGGTAACGCAGCAGTATGATCAAATCACGGTATGTTTAACTAGTTTTGGCATTAAAATGAATAGGATAAGTTGTTAGAGATCTATTTCAATTGCTTATGGCCCTCGAATGTCTGACTTCAATTGGATCGGCCGAATGATTGATGTCGACTTAAATCGCATATACGTATATTTCGTACAATCAGTGATCCAGACAAACGACCAATGAAACGAAGTGATGTACGGTGGAAAAGACACGTGAGCCAACTCGATTTAACCAAGCGTGAATCGATATTTATGGTCAGACAAAATTAAGTTACAGACATATGATGACTAAGATGGGAAATGCACACACATAAGCTCACATAAAAACAGTCAAGATTGATAAGCGAATAAGTGACAGGGTAAAAGTGTGAATCTAAAAGAACTAGTAAATTAGTCTGTCTGAAAGCTAGAATAAGCTGTGCGGGCTTGACATAGCAACCGACACTACAGATTCATTTATCTTAAACCTGGTAGGCTTGAAACAAATTATTAACTTCGGTCTCGCAAATCTCTATGATAGCATAAAATTTTCATATCACGACGATATATGTATATATACCATCTTAGTACCCTGGAAACTGTATGAAATCTACGTTAAGATTGTCTATCTAACTGATTTTAGTAAATCAGAAATTTCACTATCTATATTTTTTTTAACTTATATATCAGATTACACCGGATAAAACATGCGTACAGTTTACAGCTGAACGTTATTATCCGGTGGCGAATATAACGCAGCAGCACAGATGCTCAGCTTATGAATATTATGAACCAGGTAAATGGGTAATATTTTGTTGTTCTTGTCCAAAATTGAATAGTGAATACTCGATTTTCTTACCTTGAGTTCAGTATTTCCTTAGACAGCTTAGTTTATGGAGATCACTAATCGATCTAAGTTGGACATCCATCGAGAGCTTTCTAGTGAGAAACCGTGATTAACTGTGTCGGGTGTGACAAATGTACTCACCGAAGACGATGGAAGACAGTTGCTTGTTATCACGGATTGACTGAAGTTAGACTTGTACATAATTGGATCCCCGGTGGCAGGATCGTAAGTGTGCATTGCTGGAGAGTCCCATGCTAAGATGAAACAGCTATCCAGTGCTTACGGGTTTTCAATGCTTGTCTAACTTGGATTCCGGTCTCGTGTTAATGCTTAACCTCTAGATCACTGAGTTAGAATCCAACTTTTCTGGTTCCGGCTTCTTGGATCGATTTACGCGTGAGAGATCGTGAATCCGCACTTCCGAGGAGTCCCATACTGGTCGTAGCTTCTCACTGGAACTCCGAGAATTTCCTCTTGAAGCTAGTCACGAGTAAGCACATGGTGATTGTTAGTGTGGGGTTGTGGAGATAATTGAATTTCATTAAAATCACGAACCAATCAAAGTTGAAGCTAGATATATACACTAGTGGCCTAGAGGTTAGGCGTTCGCGCACGAGCCTGAAGGTTCTGGGTCCGATTCCGTCGTGCGGGATAGTGCATGTGCAGTGCTGAGGAGTCCCATACTAGGACAAAATAGCCTCCTAGTTCTTCCAGGTTTTTAGTGGTTGTCTAACACTGATCGGTTCATGATTTCAATGTAGATCATATTCAGCGTTCATCACTTAACATTAGCCTATCATTAATACAGTTGTTTAATTTCACGAACAAACTCTGATAATCTCTGAGGAGTAAATGTAACATTCATTTTACAGACCACTTAGCTAATTACAATATCAAAGAAGACAATTCAGTCACTTGTTCACAACGGTTTTATTTGGTTAACTATTATCAAGAACTTCAGTCGTCTTTTTAATCATCATTATTAAGTCGTGACTATCGCTCGAAAATTATGGACTTCTGATACTTGGAAAGTTTGTAACCCTATCACCAAACAATACTTTTAAGCTACATTTCCATATAGTCTAAGGTAATGGCATATTGATGATTCAGTTTAGATTCAATTTGAAATGACTTTGACTATTCTGTTGTTGATATTTCGACTGAAATTTGACCAAACTTAGTTGGCATAGGGGCATCCTGTGTGTATGCTTCAATATAGCCGTTATGAAACAGGTTGATATAGAATAGATGGAACAAGGGATGTAAATGGAGTCCAAAACACGCGTTTCGTCCCACTTGGGACTCGTCAGGTGGATATACCTGTGTCCTCTAGAACTTCAACCCAGTACCATCCGCTTCAAACTCCATCACGTCATCCACGTAGCTACTAAGATTAAATAGCCACTTACTTGTACTGCGAATACAAGTTATCTGGACTCTGAAGCTAAATGGATAACCTGGTGGCATTTGAACCGACCAATACTGAGTTCGACTTTCAGAGTAGATATCAACTCTAGAATCCAGGCACATGCAGCTGATGACTCACAAATAGAATTCCACTGCTAGTCACATTCCATCTATTCTATATCAACTTGATTCAATTGTTAAACTTTCATACTGATACTAAACAATTACAGAAAAGTTCACTTAAACGTCTTAGTTAGTCACTAAGCTACTTACTCACTTACTTACACCTGTTACTCCCAATAGAACATAGGCCGCCGATCAGCATTCTCCAACTCACTCTGTCCTGGGCCTTCCTTTCTAGCTCTATCCAATTGTTGTTCATTCTTCTCATGTCTGTTTCCATTTCTCGGTGTAATGTATTCTTTGGTCTTCCTGTTTCCCTTTGGCCTTTTGGATTCTAAGTGAGGGCTTGCCTTGTGACGCAGTTGGGTACTTTCCTCAATGTGTGTCCTATCAACTTCCAGCGCTTCTCCCTGATTTCTTCCTCCGCTGGGATCTGGTTTGTTCTCTCCCACAGTATGTTTTTACTGATAGTGTTGTCCTGTCCACGCTATCAAATGGTTTCTCATAGTCATGGAAGTTGATGTAGAGTGTTGAATTCCATTCAATTGTTTGTTCCACAATGATCTGTAATGTTGCGATTTGGTTGGTACATAATCGATCCTTACGGAATCCAGCTTGTTCATATCAAAGTTGGGCGTATACAAAGTCCTTCATTCTGTTTAACAATATCCTGTTGAAGACTTTTCCTGGTATTGAGAGAAGAGTGATGCCCCTGTCGTTATCACAGTTGCTGAGATCGTCTTTCTTTAGTATTTTGATCAGAAGTCCTTTCCAGTCTGTTGGTACTTGTTCTTCATTTCAACATTTAAGTAACTCTTCATTTTTAAGCCACTCAATAATTAGGATAAATGTTTATGTTTACTTTATTATTCTTAAAAGTAACAATTATAGTTTACTTGGAATATTATCATTTATCTTTCTGTTATCCATTTATTTATATTTACAGGTCGTTATAATAATTCATTATATAATGTTGTTTCATTATATACAAATAATATCTGTAATGTATGTGGTAGTTTCGCTTGTCCATATTGTCCTGATTATAATTTATCTAAGAAACGTATTAAATTATCAATGTCTATGATTTGTTTAATATTTTTAATAAGATGGATATTATTCTATATATTCAATGTTTACAATTGATAATGACATGATTTGAAATGATGTAATTTAATGTTACTTACTTACTTACATACTTAAGCCTGTTACTCCCAATGAAGCATTGTAATTTGATGTTACTTACTTATTTACTTACGCCTGTTACTCCCAATGGAGCATTGTAATTGGATGATAGGAATATTTTTATTTTCATATATATCCAAAGTATGATCTGTTCTATTATTCATGTTAAACAATTAAACATTATAATTTACATCCAAGTGGATAGTTCAAACCAATTAGAATAGTAGAATACAATAATAGAACTATCATTGACAAATGATGAATATCAAAAGGGGTTTTGTGGATATTATAGTAATTTCAATGGTTGAGATCATGAGTCAGTTGAAGTTGATGAATAGATAAAATCCCATACTTGAATGTATACAAGTTTTATTAGGGTTTAATTGATTTCTTTTCTTCCTTACACAAACAGTATCAATGTCAAGTTATTGGATCATTATAGGTTTTTATTGAATAAATGATTTCCTAGTTTATAGAAATGATCTAGTGTTTTGCTACTACTCTTTTTTCTTGCATAAATCTTTTGTGTAAAGATATATATATATATATACTTTCTCTGATCATCCTTTCACTTCACTTTTCCTTCATTACTTACACTTACATATCAATATGAAATGCCTATATTCAATGAATACAATAAAATCCTATTTCGTTCAATGTTAAACATAAGGTTGATTTCTTATAACCTGTTTTCAGTTCCCTCTATTTTTTCTTCAAAGAGTAAGAAAAAAACAATAACCAAGTAATGTGAAGATATTTTGTTCATATGTACATGTGGGTGTGTATATATACATACATGCACTAGATTGTAATAGTTCCAATTCTTCTCTTGTTTTGTTTGCTTCTTTCATTCAACTGCATTTTTATTCAGGATAAGATAGTTACTGTTTTTGTATAGATAAGCAAATGTAAGGGAAAAAATACATATATTTTTGGTTGTAACTGGAATTTCCACAGTTGAATTTACGAGTGGATTTATGTTAGACAACCATTGAAAACTTGGAATTACTGGATTTGAATTGTTTCTTTTATATCTAGATCGATTTCCTCATTCATTTTGACATATATTTAGACTTAGTTTTCATTAATGATATAGAAAGCTAATATGACTTGTAAATGTACTTTAATGCTTAGTCCTGATCATTGGATTAATCATGTTTTACCTAAAGTATTATAGCAAGCTTGAGAAGAGTATATGGATTTCAGTACAAAAGTTCTACAATATAACGTATCTATCACATAGAATCTGAGATGAATAGGTTGTCGATTTACAGCTGGACTATTAGATTACGACTTAACGCTAGACTTGAAGATCCTAGGCAATAGTTTAGGATTCTGAGTGATTATCACTGAGGATTTCTACGCTATTCGATGAGGTATAATGAAGAAAAACAAGTAAAACTGCCTTGCTGTGAAAACCAAACAAAATATCACGTTGGTAGTAACAAATGTTATAGATTTCATGAGAAATCTGTAACTCCGAAGTCAGAGTTGAGCAAACATTAAGTCAGTTCTCTAAATTCAATATTAATGTAGAAAACTGATTGCAGCAACAGCAACACGTCGTACGAGACAAACTAATGTGAAGTCTTTTACACATTGATAGTGGTAAAGAGGTATTCAATTTGTAAAATGTAAAGAACAAGTCCTAGATCAAAGCGAAGCCCTGTGCGTTGACTTCCCGACACGTCATAAATAACAAAATAAAAGGAACCACCGAGGTCATATGATGACATTGAACAACAATAAATGGACGGTTACGAGAAATTTTAACATGGAACACCTTATCAAACTTCATCCCAGTGAAACAATGAGAAATCTCCGCAGACATCTAAACCAATTAGGTGGATGAACAATATGCTGGACGCCACACTGAATGATATACAGCGCAATTGCCCGAAAAATAATCTTAAAATAGAACGTAGGGCTGAGGTACAAACCTTCTTCAATCGAGTCTTTTAGACATAGGCCACATATGAACAACCACTAACCATCCTGTTTTGCTCTCCCGGCTAACGTGATAGTATATTTAAAATGGAGTTGGATGGGCAGATCAGTTCATAAAATTACTGTCAGTTGGGTTAAGCTCGTAGCGCGAGATGCATCATACCTGGTTGAGGTCCGTATTATGATCGTAATTTGCAGTTTTAAAATGGCGAGGCAGTCAGATGTAGTCGAATACCAATCAATGGTAATCAGAAGTGACCCGAAGGACAAGTGCATATCATTGACCAAGAAATGGACTGGTTTTCTAAGACGTAGAGTTATATATATGAGTATTTGTGCATTTTATTCTGTAGCCCAATATACTTTTCTGTCCACTCTTGCGTTCCCACTCAAGCAGTCAAGTGAGGATTAACATGTAGCACGTCGTGTATCGATATCAAATTTCGGACACCACTCGTTATGGTCTACAACTCAGTGATAAATTCCGAGTTTTGCTATTTATTCATACTTTCCATTTCCACTGATTTCATACGTTTTCCCATAATTACACTTAGCACATGTAATCCTCTCTGATACTTAGGAACATTACATCAACTTTTCAGCATTTAGCCTAGTTAATTTCGTCTTGTTTTCTGATATCAAGCTCGATACCTTGATCGATTTGTACATCTATGTCATAATCCAAGTTATATTTAACTAAATAGGTTGGATCAACTTTATTCAGATTAACGATCCACACTTTGTAAGAGCATAACATTCTTCACATTTAACACCAGTCTACTAACAAACTTCCTTATTATCATTTACAATTGAACGGTATTATTTTCTCTAAAATAAAAACTGACTTGTATACAAATTTCCAATTTATAGAATAAACAGACAAAAAACTGAGATCCTATCGAACAATCAAGCTAATCTCAATTTTAATTAAGGCCTTGAGGAGTATAGTAACAGTAAAGTATAGAAAGATACATTTAGGAGGAATGGGATAGATATGGGAAGGGAAAAAGGATTGGAAGAACAACCGACAAATTGATAAATCGGGTAATTAGAAGTGTAAACAAAATGAATTACAAAGAGAATAACATGAATAGGACAGTTTGTAAAATAAAAACTCAACGTTACAGAAATCTAGTGGAAAACGGCGAAGAAATGTAAAAAAAAACGAAACGCAGTGGAACGTACACGTAGGCGTATACTTACTACACTTAACTGATTTGCATTCTAGTTCCACAATACAAGAAAAGAGGAGAAACAAATTGTGGAACTATAAGACTTAAAGTATAGAAGATGCATAAAACAATAGCTATGTGAAATGTATAATTTAATAATGAAAAAATTAACATTTAACTGAACAACAAATCAATCTAGAAACAAACATTAACTTCGTTCATCATGTAAACATTCATGGATAAATGCAAGGACATACAGAAAGAAGAGATCTAATTTACATAACATACCCAACTAAGGTATGAATTTTGGAATATGGATAATATTCCCTTGAAGAAAAAGGCATTTAGAGGTGACAGATAAAACAGGTAAGTCTACAAGATATTTTGTTTGGTATAATACTAGTCACGTTTTTTATCACCTGAAGATGGTGTTTGACGATTGGCAGCGTCACGTAGACCACTTGAATTGAAACTGTTTGCATTACTATTGGGTAAACCTTGACTGCTTTGTCCTGTCCCCGTACTAGTTGAAGAGAAATTTGCATTCCCAGTCATATTGGCAGTTGATGAAGAGGTTGTTCCACTAACATTTGACAAATTTGAAGGCATAGCTTCAGATGCCTTGCTACGACTACGTTCAAAAGCACTACGAATAGCGTCGACAGTACCACCAAACAACAGCTTACAAACAGCATTCTCAAACGGTACAAATGGATCTTTTAAGCCCAGTAGAATCATAGTAATTCTGAGAATAAAGAAGTATACAGATACTTCAAGATTATTACAACTATGCACGACTGTTAATCAATCAGATAAAAACTAAATAATGTAGGTAGAAAAAAGCATATCACAAAGGGCGTTTGCAAATCACATACGCAATTACACTTGCCATATAAATAGTTCTAATTCACATACTTCTGAATGTATTGGACTAAATGATCATCATTAAGCACTAAATACATGAAACACTTTAGTAATTGGATCAAACTTCTGTTATTTCATTAGATATTCGTCACTTAGTTCAAAACGATCGGTAAATGATATTGATGTTAAAACTTCAAGCAAATAATCGCTATAGAACTTCGTACAAGTGTTTTTGAATATATAAGCATAATGTTACGAGTCTGTTTGAAAGTACTAACTTTTGAAATTAAAACATTCACATGAATACTTAAGCTATTGAAAATGAAAAATACTTTAAAACTACTTACACTAACATCACTAGACTTATTTTTTACTTTGAATTTTGAAAACAATGTGTATGCTACTTATGTTGACAGATATAAGTAGTATGTAACACAGTCGGAAATGGAATGTATGTCTGGCGAAGATTGGGAAGATTAAATTGAAAAAGAACAGAAAGGGAAATATAAAAGAATTGTAATAACAACGAAATTGAAAGAATCAGGAATCACGTAAAAGACAACTGATGGAAGATGTGCAAATCATGTACCTAATGTAAGGTTTTCTTATTTTATGAAAGTAATCTGTAATTTTACATTAAACGATAAATTGATCTTCTCCACCTGAGTGTCCGTTCGCTACAATAATATCTGTGAAACAAAATTCAACATTGTAATTATATATTCATATGATAAATATTTCCAAGATATTCGACAACTCAACACACCTTTCAAGATAAATAATGAGTTTCTAGACACTTTGGATAGAATATGACACGTCGTAAAAATATAAAGGGTTTGAAGAATTCATTGTTATACACAATTAAGATCATATGAATCATTCCAAAAGAAAAAGAACAAACAAGTCAGTCACTAGGGTAACACAAACATTCGACCAAAACAATTTGATATAATAGTCCACATCAGACAATGGATAAAG